TGTGGAGGAATTAGGAACACACATTAGTAATGAGGAGAAAGAAATCAGGAGGACAGTAGATAGTGATTGATATTGCACTTAAATTTTTGCAGATTAAAGTTTGTTGGAAAGCATGGAGTGGGAAGGGAGTTCCACAAGTGAGCAGTGTGAGATAAGAAACTGTTAGCCAGAAATAGCTGTAATTTTTATGCTAACTCGAGTATAAATTGAGATCTTGCTGCCAGTCTAGCATTGAGCTTAAATTCATACAGTATATGTATGTACCATAACAAAGAGCTTATCCGAACAATTACCATGAAAGTATTTATAAAAAAAAAAAAAAGGCACAGAGGCAACCTTACAGCAGTGGGCAAGTGACTGAAGTTGAGCTACCAGATCAGGACCAATAATATTGCTGATTCTTCTCTTGGATCCTATCAAGGAGCTCCAGGAAAATAGTAGGGGCACTGGACCATATATGGCAGCAATATTCTAAGCATTGATGAATGGTAGACTTATAGATATGAAAGTTAGATTCCAGAGAAAAAAATTATCTTGCTCAACATGGTGAACCAACTTTCTTAGCAGTTGACCTAGTGATGGATTCAGTTGTAGTCTTTCCACCTTGTATCAGATGAGAACGTTAGCCTGAGAAGTTGCTATGAGTCACTATCCTGAAGGATAGCATCAGCCATGCTGATGGAAGGTAGAGAGAGATCTCTCAGATGATTAACGCAGAGAAATTTGGTTTGGAGGTGTTAAGATTAGCAAGCCATCTTTTGCCCCAGTTAATGACGGTCCTGAGGTCATTTTGTACATCATCTACCATTTTGATCTTGTCTGACTGATCAGCCTTACTATCAAGGCACGAGTAAATGGTAGTGTCGTCAGTGTAGATGCTAAATTGAAAGCTGATGTTGTTGGGAAGGTCGTTAATGAAGATCAAAAATAGTGTAGGATCAAGGATGGATCCCTGGGAGACACCCATGTTAGTACAAAAGGATGTAGAGTGGTCATTCAGGACAACTTTCATTTCACAATTTGATAGGAATGACTGAATTAACTTGGATATGCCTGGAGATACTGTAGCTTTTCAGCTTGTGGAGAAGATCTGAATGCCAGATCCTATCAAAGGTTTTCAAGATGTACAATGCTACAGCCCAGGCCTCACCGTTTTTATCTGGAGCATGATATGCTCTTTCTGTAATTATTGTTAGTACGTCAGCTGCTGAATGAAAGTTGTAGTGCTTGTCTGAGAAAAGGCTCTGTGATGTGAAATGATGAATCAATTCAGCATTGATTAGGGCCTCTAGGGGGTTTCTCAAAAAGAGACAGAAGTTGGATGGGTCAGATGGTTCACCAGAGATCTTAAAAACTGGGACAACAGACAATGACTTGCAGAAGGCAGCAAGGCATTTACTATACAGTTTAGAGATAACAGGAACTAGTTCAGGAGCACACTTCTTAATGACTATTACAGAGATGCCATTGGGTCCACATGGAAGGTGTTATATGCATATCACTCAACAGAGGATCAGTTTTAAGTGGGAAGTTTGGCAAGGATATTCTAGATAAGTTCTGAGTAGATTTTGAGGAGAATTTTTGGGCAAAGCATTCAGCTTTATCAGCAGAGGATGATAACACCTCAAATTGATTGAGGAGGGGGAGAATAGACTGTGGTTCCTCATTCTTTCAGCAAACAGGGACTTAGATTTTTCAAGATCTTGCTTGCATTTATATAAGCACCTGTTACACTGGTATAGCTGGAAATAGTGGTTCCCGTGTACTATGGCAGCCAAGCATGCTGGTATGAACCATGGAGAGGATTATGATTTCAACTGGTATTTCTGGGAAGGATGAAAGCATCCATGCCGCCTTTGACCCAAGAAGAAACTTCAGTGGCACAATTTTCAGTTGGGAGGCTGAAGATGTCTGTCCAAGGGATGTCACAAAGAAAATCCTGGAATGAATCCCAGTCAGCATGCTGGTAAAGGAAATGGTCTTATGGACAGAAGGTTCTTGTTTAATGGATGCTTGGAAGGAGATATCAATAGCTACCACAGAGTGGTCCAAGTTACCAAGAGAGCAGTATTGTTAAGCTTGGCAAGAGTGAGGAGAGGAGATAAGAAATGAATCCAGTAGATAAGCATGTTGCTCAGTTTGGCTACGGAAATGAGTAAGATGTCCATAATTTGAGCGAGGGATTGGGCAGTGAAAAAAATTTAATGTCTGTATAGTGGCAACATCAGTACCTTTTTAGAATGTTTCAGCCATGTATCATAGTGAGAATTAAAGTCACTGAAGACAAAGATGTTCACAGATGGATGGAGAGAAAGCGCCTTTACTATACTGCAGTCTTTGGAAGAGGGTGAGCGATAAAGGAAAAAGAGATATCTTACAGAGTTTGGCAAAAGACGGAAGCACCTGAAAGAGTAGTTGGTGGCCTCGAGAGACAATTCCCTGGCCATTGGAAGATTATTCCAGATGTAAATACCAAGGCCATGCATGTGAATGCTGGAATATTTTTGGCAAAGGGGAAGATGCCCTGAAACCAACAATTCATTAGTCGCAATGGAAGAATTCAAGTTGGTTTCATAGAGGGCAAAGATATTTGGCAACTTTTCCAGGAGAAAAGATTTTACGCTGCAGAAGTTGGAATGGATACCACGAATATTGGAGAAAAAAGATTGAGGGTTTTATTTCTTTTCGTTGTGATTTTCATGAGATGTTTTGAGAGAGGAAAAAGATCAACATAATTGTCACTCTGTTGTCAATGGCATTACAAAACAGCCAGTGTGTAGCTGAGAGCAGAGCATAATGTAACATCAGGGTTGTTGACCAGAAATGCATACAGGGACACCTACCCATGTGCAACATGGTACTATAGATGCCCTGATATTATGCAGTTGTTGATTGAAGCAGCCTCTCTAAGTGCTACTAAAGAGCACAGGCTCCTAATGACCAGTCAGAAGCAGCAGCCAACAAACTGCCAACCCAGTTCCCTCATAATGGAAAGTCAAAACTATTGGTTAGTCTCATCACCAAAGAGTTAAGACAGTTAAATCAATGTGACTCTGGTAAGGGAAAGAAAGAAAACCAGTAAACCATAACTGGAACAGAGAACAAGGGATGAACCTTTACTCCTGTTCAATAGACATGGAAGGAATGCAGACTGGACAATAGGTGAGCCTATCTACTCTTAGTAACCTGTGGAGAAAAAAAAAAAAAAAAAATTAGGAAAGAATTCATTAGTATAAGTTCTGATGTCTATTAAAAAAAATAATCAAGTTAAATATGAGAATTACAATAAATAATAATTAATTGTTAATTTCAATGATTTCAATATACAGTTAAGACTGACAGTCAACCAGAACTGGTGGGCTCTTGGATAAAAATCAGATCAAGAAAGATTTGATGACTCCCACATTCGAAATAGGAGTGTGTATATTTAACTGGAGCCATATTGGTCTTGGGATAGGGGCATGATGGGATCAACAAATTTGAACCTTCCATTTTTCATTTTTTAACCAGTTTTACATTTCTACATTTAAAATTTTTTTTTTTTTTTTTTTTTGTGGCACTTATCCACTTTGTTGGAAAAATAACACTAAGCCAAAATTTCTCATCCAATTTACCACTCATGATACACACATTTAAATGTAATATCAGGAATTAACACTAAATTAATGAACAAGCATTTTATGCAGATGTGCCCACCTGTGCAAGTGTGTGTGTTATATATATATATATATATATATATATGTGTGTGTGACTACAGAATCCATAAAAATCCATTCGGTCAGGTGATAATTTATTTCATGGACTCGGACGTCCATCTCTTCAGAACAGTTTTACAAAAATAAATGGAGTTCAATTTATTCAGGCACAAAAAAAAAGAAAAAAAAAAGTGGGAGAGATAAGAGGAAAAGTTTTAATATTAAAAAGGGGGAGAAAGACAGACTTCAATATAAGGTTTTTTAGGGGGAAGAGAGATAGACATGGGGAAAGGGGTGAGATAGGGAAAGAAAGGAGTTAAGTCAATGGTTGGGATTGGTATAAAATATAACATGACTTCTGTGATTAATCGCTGTTAGATATATATAGAAAAAAAAAAAAAAAGTTTGAAGAATAGATGAAGCTTTCTATTTTAAGTAACCTGACCATTGCTGACAATGTAGTTGTAGCACTCTATTCAATGCACTGTTTAACAACTGGTTCACACTCCTCTCTAGTCTTTTGAACAGGAGTAGGAGTTTATCCCTTTTTCTCTGTTTAAGATTGGGTTTCCGGTTCCATCTAATGTCTACTTCCAACATCTCCGCCTGAACTCTGACATTTTATTTAATAATTATTTAATTAGTTTTAATTAGTTTTTGTTTTCTTCTCTTCAATAGTGTTACAGAGGTTCACTTATTGCCCAGTTTGCTCTTCACCAGTCTTTTGAACAGGAGTAGAGATTTCTCTTGTTTCATGTTTAGGATTAGGTTTCTGGTTCTTTTTAAAGTCATTTAATTTTCTTTCAATCCTAATAGCACTTCACCTGTTATTGACATTATCATCTTCTTTGGGGTGAATTGATTAAAGAAGAAAAACTTAATGAGCTGAGTGCTCAAAAGACAGGGACAAATGAATACCTTATGAATATATTATGAGTGTAGACGTTTATTAACAATTGGCTTACTTGTTACTTTGTATCTGCTTTTGTAGTCTATGCCTCATAATGAGGACATGTACTTAAGTTACATGACTAACTTACATATTTTCTCTTCAACCCACCATTTGTCACTGATGTCCCTTGAACACATCATTCACAAATTATATTTAGCTAGTTCTGTTAATAAATCTATTACAGTACACTTTTTTTAAATAGAACATTTATACTAATAAGAAATAGACTTTTGTAGGTTAATGATTGATTACCTGGTATTATTTTTAGTTTGATAAAGCAGAGTTTTTGGGTTCCAATTTGAAGATGTCAGATCTTTCATTAAAAACTCATAATTGAAAACAAAAACTATAAGTGTATTTGCTATCCCATTTTGTTTAATCACATTTTTTCTTTCACTTCTGCTTTTTTCATTCTCTTTTCCTTTCATTCTCTTTTCCTTTCATTCTCTTTTCCTTTCATTCTCTTTTCCTTTCATTCTCTTTTCCTTTCATTCTCTTTTCCTTTCATTCTCTTTTCCTTTCATTCTCTTTTCCTTTCTTCTCTCTCTTTTCCTCTCCTCTCATTCCTTTTCCTTTCCTCTCTTTTCTTTCATTCTTTCTTCTCTTTTCCTCTCCTCTCTCTCTTTTCCTCTCCTCTCTCTCTTTTCCTCTCCTCTCTCTCTTTTCCTCTCCTCTCTCTCTTTTCCTTTCCCTTTCCTCTCCTTTCTCTCTCTTTTCCTTTCTCTCTCTTTTCTCCCTCTCTTTTCTTCTCTTCTCTCTCTCTCTCTCTTTTCCTTTCTCTCTTTTCTCTCCTCTCTCTTTCCTTTCCTCTCCTTTCTCTCTTTTCCTTTTCTCCTCTTTTCCTCTCCTCTCTCTTTTTTTTCTCTTTTCCTCTCCTCTTTCTCTCTTTCTCTCTCAAAATACATTTTAGCATTCAAACCAAACATTTTGGTAGTCACTGTCAGAAATTCATGCAAAATCTTTGCATTTTCTTATTAATCTGAGCATCCATATTATTAGCTTGCCTTTGGCACAAAAACACAAGTGTGAATTGAACTCACTACACAGTCTACTAAATTACATCCCTGATTATTTACCTTATTTTAAGGATGAAAAAGTGATTATGCTTAGCCATATAAACTGACAGGTTTGATATATTCAGAAAATTTTATGCTATTTTTTTTTTTTTTTTTTTTTTTTTTTTTTTTTCAGATTTTTGCCAGTCGCACAGGGGAACTTGTCACCTACCACCATGTTGACATTAAACATATATACCCTCAGGAGGGGTAAGTATTTTGACTTATCTTCAGTTACATGATAGATTGCCAAGATTTAATTTTTCTCCCTCTTCTTTAGTTCTGTAGGAGTATGGTGTGCCACAGCTCTTAACAACATTTGTCATTGCTGCTGTGATTTCTGTAGCAAGTAAGGTTTTTCACAAAATGAAACTGCCAGGCCCATGTCCAACCCATTGATTTGACTGCAATGACTCCAAATGTTATCCAATTAATAACCTGTAACCTAAAATTAATTTCCCTCTTTTATTAGTCCCATAGACTCCACTGAGGATTATGGCGTGTGGGGGCACAGCTCTTATCAATACTAGGTGTTGCTGGTGTGGTTTCCATAGTAAGTAAGACTTTACAGGATGAAGTTGCTAGCCCCCATGGCCAACCTGGTTTTCACTTGCAGTTCCCAGTGTTACCAAGTGGTTCCTGCCCACCTAAGTATTGACCAGGCTCAACATTGCTTAACTTCGGGGATCAAATGAGAACTGTTGTTTCAGCATGATTTTGACCATAAATCTGAAATTTAATTTAGAGGATATAAAAATCTGAAAGCAAAAACCTAGTTAGAGTAACTATAATGTAAAAAAAAAAAAATTATGATAGTGTCCGTATACATATAATTTGGGTATGCTAGCTTTGTTCTTCATTAACAATTATTTTGGTATTTTAGTGAATTTTTTGCTGCCAGTCAGAAATTTTCTATAATAGAATTAAGAATTCTTTCTGAGAAGAGGTTATCATTGTTTAGATTATTTACAGTCAGACAAATGTCTTCATCTTTGTTATCATGTTTTGGCTTTCATGCTCTCTTTTTCAGGTATCTGACAATCCAATCCTTCAGGTAATTTCAAACTGAACCCTTTATTTAATATATAGGGGTAAATTGTTTTTGTTCTGCTGACTGTCTCTATAGATATCTCATCTTATTGTTGGTTTGTTTATTTGGTTCTTGTTTTTTAAGTTTTTGCAAATCCTGTTTCCACAGGGTTTGAGTTGATGCTACTCAGACCAGGAATAGTGCGAGAAAACGGAGGTGGGGGGACAAAAACTTCTTGCGAACCTGAAACAAATGTCTTCTCTTCTGAACGAACACTTTGACAGCAAATGAGCAAAATGGCACCCAAGACTGCTGTCGACAGACGACCGACCACAACGGCTTTTGTCGCCCAAGAAAAGATGCCAATGACTCGCGTGTCTTCTTATCCTCAGTCAAGTCCCTTATGGTACTCCAAGGTATGCCCAGCGACGACACACACAAGCAGTTTGAGGATACTTCTGCGCATGCTCATTACACTCACTTGGAGAATTAAAGTACTGGTTTCGGAGTTTGGTGAATAGTAACTGTGAGTTTAGATGTGTCCATTAATATAGTACCTTTTGTGTATGTTATTCTTTTCTGAATTTCATGGGGATTCATTGGATAATAAAAATAACAATAGTCATGGCACTCCACAACTTCCTGACCTATGTAACTCTTAGTAAGGTTTGTTTTTTAGCAATCCCTTTGTTTTGCTATCCATTTACACAAACTCATTAGGTAGGTTACTCATAGTTTTCCTCTGCCTTGCCGGCCTTCAGTATCTTAATTACCTGTGTGTGTTAAATTCTCCAAGCCCTCTTTTTTTCATTATGTCTCCTAGAAATTTCGGTTGTTTCTTTCATTTATTTGCTTTCCCTACAAAAGTAAAATTTATTAACATGATGACTACCAGAGGTCAATTATGAAATCTGATCTCAAATGACTTTATAATAGCAAACTTAGACAATAAAATATTTTTATGAGTTTATTTATAACTTCAACTGAAATCTTAACATAGTTTTCACACTAAAAGTATCAAGGACACATGGCACAGTGGATAAAGGCGTTGGTTAGATCCAGTGACAGAACCCAAAGAGTGAGTTCAATATCCGGTTAAGGCAGTGGAGAACTTTCAGAGGGAAATTAACAGGAGATAACTGATAACTGACATCCATCAAATATGGCATGTGAAACTAGAACAGTCTACCCCAGTGAGCGAAATAAAGGGTTCAGTTCGACATTCCAACCACCTGAAGAAGGCTGGAGCGTACAACGGCCAAAACTTTGTGATAACAAAGATGAGAACAATAGTTTGAATAATGTAAATAATGTACATAATACCTCATCTCAGAAATATAGACACTCAAAAGTATCACTGCAAATAAATTTGTTGTTGGTGCCCGCAGATAAAAGCATATCAGAAAATTAGCATGAAATAACTCTGTTAACAGTCAATGTATTAAGCAAATTATCTAGTACAAGTTCACCTATCATATGCTTCATACTCCTCACTGTTCTTTTGAAGAGTAGAGGTTTATCCCTTGTTTCCTGTTTAGGATTGTTTCTGGTTCCTTCTAAAGTCTACTTCAGCTATATACTCTTAACACTTGCCCTTTCTTATGCTAATACAACTTTACACAATAACCCTCTACTTTGAGTAGCTCTTGGGCATTGTATTGGATAAAAATATTAGTAAAAAAAAAAAAATTGTTAATTTACGACCATGATTGGTTATGAGTGACAAGTCATAAGTTGATCTGATCATAAGTCAGCCTGTAATTAATTTTACTATTTTTTTTTTTTTTTTTTTTTTTTTTTCTTTACATTTGATAACATTTGTATCATCTCTCTACAAATTTTAAGTTAAACACTGCCTATTACAGTACAGTTGGTTTAATATTTGCTAAACGTACAAAAACCATTCATGCTGGGGAAACACTTATACAGGCAGATACACATCATTGTCAGACATACCAATTTGCAGTCATGTCAATGATCTGTACTGAAGTAGAATTTTTTTTTTTTTTTTTTTTTTTTTTAAATGGAAATGTACAAGGTCCTTTGGACATAGAAGGGTCTTAACAAAGTGGGTTGCAATTTCAAAAAGTTTGGGAAGGTTAGACAAACTGATTTTTATATGGGAAAGGTTAAATTTGTACAATATAACTTTTTTCTCTCCTTTCAGATGGGTTGAAGAAGACCCAAAAGAAATTCTGGAATCTGTTTATACTTGTATGAGTAAAGCAGTAGAAAACTTGAAGGCCTTAAATATCAATGTGGATGATCTCAAAGGTAAGTCTGCATCTATAGTAGGATTAGGTAGTAGTAACACCATATGGAAATATACACTTTCCTTTTCACTAAAAGAGTGACAAGGAAAACTTTCTCTCTCTTCTCTATTACAAATACTTCTTTTCTGTCCTATTGTTCCTATCCTCAGTAACTGACAGAACCTGGACATAGCTTATGTGGATCAGTGAACATCATAAAAAATCAACCAATGACAACACATCCCACCAAAAATCAAACAGAAAACATGGATGTGTCAGGCCCAATAAAAAGAAGAAAAAAAACCATGTGCACAGAAGTGGGAAATTGTTTCGATGTAGCAGTTCAAGATGCAAGGATTAGAGATTCATCGGTTGTGAGTTTGACTGGATGTACAACTCCAGAAGAAAGGATGAATTCAACAAATTAATTTCTCAGCCAATGACCCTGTATGAACTCTCAACTCACAAAAAAGTACTAAGATAATAGTTACCTACTTTAACCCCTGTAACCAAATGGAGTCATTCAAACAGAAGAGGCCATTACCATTAACTAGTATATTAATATAACTTCAAGTCTTTATTCCAACAATTATTCAAATTAGTATCCTTATCTTTATTTTAACAATTTTTTTTTTTTTTTTTTTTTTTTAAATTTTAATACACTGGGGGCTTGTAAGCAGACATGTCATTTTTAGAACATTTCCCAAGAGATATGACCTATATCTAGTTTGAATGACAGTCTCAGGATTTTGAAAATGGCTTAACTTTGTCTTAATGTGTCGTTTATGTTCGTTTGAAGTTAATCAAAATTCACACATTTAATTATCTTTTAAAAGGCCAGTTCTGGACAGTTACTTTTTTTTATTTTTATTTATTTATTTTTCTGGTCAATTTCTGCTAGGAAAGTTGTTAGAATCTTGTTGAAATGAAGTGCTATGTTTAACCCAACACTTTTTGAAAAATCACCTACCAAATGGATTTTGGTGCCTTACAACACAAAATTCAGTCAAATTAACACAATATTTTACAATATTCTGCCTGCTTTTTTTGTCTCTGACCTCTCCCCAACTTTGTAATAACACTAACAAAAAAATGCCAGAGAAAAAGTTCTTTCTCCTTTTTAGTGTAAGTTCACAAATATTAAAACCATTTAAATTTGAAAAATGTAAGGAAGTTGTTTTCTGGAAGATATTTAAATTTTACCCTGTCTCTTTCATTGTTAAACTAATTATTACCCACATTTGACACTATATGCTCTGCACCAAATATCAGTTCCCAACATTGCTTTCCTTGCACTTATCAAAAAATCATAATCTATACCATGATTCCTATGTTTTCTTGTGTGCTGAATTCATTTCTGGTATTGAAAATACACCCCACCCCAACCCTAAATAAGTTAAATGTAAAACTTAATCTCTTTTCAGGAATTGTCTTTTCACTGCAGATCAGTTTTTAGACTTAAATCCCTTTTTCTTATTTTTTTAAATTAAAAATGTGGAGGTTTTGTTTTAATCTTCCTTTATAAGAACAAATAAAATTAATACAGTTTCTTAATTGAGCTGAAAATCAATTGAGGTGGGTGGGGCAAAAACCCATAAATGTCTATTTGGCCCTATTGTGGGAGCCCACTGTGTAATATATTTGTAGTTATCAGCTTTTCATGCAAAACAATTTGGTGGTGACTGACAGAAATTCATGTAAAGCCTTTAGATTTTCTTACTGAATATACTTACTAAACTTAGCTTAGTTTTGGCACCAGCGTGGATTGAACTCATGGGACCGTTTACTAAAAGATGTCAACATCTATCAAAGAGATGAAATTTACATTTATATTATTGCATTATTCCAAATTTTTAACACATCAGCAGATAGCTATTAATGTTAAATGAGCACAAATAGTTATTAATTTTAAAAATTAGTAATTAATGTATAATTTTAAATTTATTAATTAATAAAATCAGAAATCAGAATTGCTTTTGTATCTGAACTTTTATAAGAATCTTTGTAGTTTTTAAGTTTGCTTTAAAATCTTTTTCATCATTTTCATCAAAATTAAGATAGCCATGACTTAAAAGAAAAAACATAGCGTCCTTCATGACAGTCTTTGTTTTTGATAATCTTCTATCTCTAACAAAAGGGTGTATTTCAAATATTGCATCATGTGATATTATTCCTTTTCAGGCCTTTTCCATGAGATAGTAAATGTTAAAAAACATAAAAAATGCTATATAACTATTTTATGCTATGTTATGATGCTTATTACATAGACAATAATACCGACTAAGTTTGTTTGTTGTTTTTTTTTTTTTTTTTTTTTTTTTTTTTTTTTAAACATTAAAGTATATTTAATCACATCTCCATAATAGCTGTTGCAATCTGTAACTAGATCACTGACCATTAATCTATAGTTAGTCATTGAAGTTCAGAGACTCTGTTAATGGGATGTAGGAGGTCACTAAGTTTATCAAAGAATAGAGCATGGTAATTCTGGAAAAAATAAAATAGAACAATGGAATGCCACTTTTTTTTTTTTTTTTTTTTAAACAATGCGATGGAATCTTTCAATACACATCCTAAAAGCAATGCAGTCATTCAACACGCGTGATAAAAGCATACAAACAGAAACTTGAGCCAACTTTGACAATTAGTTTCCTTTTGGAACTCTATGGAAAAGTGTTTGAAATTATTAAATGGGTGGATCTTAATAAGCTTGCATGTTGGGGGGAAATTTCCTATAAAAAAAAAAAAAAATTGAAAACTGTTTCCCAATAATACCTATCCCTGAACCAAGTAAACGCTTAGACACAAAACTATATAGACATTTGTTCATGACTATTGTAGATTTGTGCATACGTTTTTTTTTTTTTTTTTTTTTTCTTACAGCTGTGGGCATATCCAACCAACGAGAAACCACTATTGTCTGGGATAAATTCACAGGAAAACCTTTGTATAACGCCATTGGTAAGTGTGCATTTCTTTTTTAGAATCTTGACCGATATCAGATACATGATAGGGTTTTCTTCTTTTATGTGTCATAATCCTTCAGGACGTGGGCAGTCATGACCCTCCACAACTTTCTCTCCTTTCTAGTAGTTCTCTGTCCTCATATCTTCCAGTCCCATTTCTGCCACTCATTTACACGAGCACATTAGGTAAGTTATTCAATGTTTTCCTATGCACCTCTTGCCTTCAATATACCCTGTGAGTGTCAAATTCTCCAAGCACTCTTTCCTAATTGTGTAGTGGAAATTTCAAGAATCTTCTGATTCTAAGTATCAGTGTCCTTTTCTTTCCATTTTCTTTAAAACTTACTTATTGCTCACATATCCTGTCCATGGAATTCTCAGCATTCTATAGAATCACATTTCTGTTGTCTCAAGTCTCTTCTTCATCTATGAGGAAATTCAATGCCATAAATAACTAAAATCACTCGTGCCATCAAAGTATAATCACTTGTATAAATCTAATCTAATAAATAGTGTTTGTTGTCACTTCTCGAAAAAAAACAAGTATAAATACAAAATCCAGAGACAGATATGCAATGTGATTGGTCCTGATCTGGCATCCTGTTTAGTCACTGCTTTACAGACATGATGTGGCTTCCTCTGTTTTTTTTCTACAAGTACTTTCATGGCTACTGCTGTAACCAGCTATTTTCACTGGTTCCCAAACTGCATGAATTTAAGCATCTCGGTCCCACCCTTTCACTGTCGAAACAGCTAAATTTAGCCATCTCTTCTACTCCAACAGTTTCTTGTCTCGCACTTCCTGTCATTGGAACTCCCTTCCTATCACTTGCTTCCCTGATAGCTATGATCTTCAAATATTCAAATGTAATGTCAATCGACATCTTCTGATACCTTGACCTTGATCTCTGTCCTTCTCTTTATCCTTTTCCCAAACTTTACTCTTACTCTCACTCTGTTACCTCGTGCGTGCTAGTGGCACTCCCACGAGGTGATGTGCTTAAAAAAAATAAAAAAATAAATAAAATGCTTGAAACTTTATTTTAGTGAATTTATGTGATGACAACAAATAAAAGGAAATACTTTTTTTTTTATTACATTTTTGTTTTCGTGTTCAAACATTTTTATAAATTTATGAATAAAAAAGTTTTTGTTTTCATTAGCGTTGCTTTTATTTTTTTATCTTTGTACTATAGGATGTTCCAATAACTTGGGCCGATTTTAAATGCGAATTAAGTTTAAGCGTCTAATGACTTATCTTTTACTTTCAGATTTAACAAACTTAAGACTTTGGCAATTTCAACCATAGAAAGATTAACAATGTGTTAAAGTTATTGAAGCCTATTACGAAAATGGACATTCAAACAAAAATGCATTTTGCACACTTTGATATTTTTGGTTAACATAATCAACCAAACAAGAGTACAATTGGAAAAATTGTTCGTAAATTCAAACAAACTGGGTTGGTAAAACATCATTGCATTCTTGTTTATGCTGTTGAGCTGAAAATATTGCTGCAGTGCATGAGAATGTGGCCAAAAATCCAGACCCCTCTGTTTGTCATCGTGTGCAGAAATTGAACCTCTTCACAACAATGTTACATTGAATTTTGACAAAAGATTTCTCTCCACGCTTACAAAATTCAACTGACATAAGAAATGAAACCTGCTGACTATTTGGAGTGTCATACATTTGTCAATTGGGTACATGTACAAAGACAGGCTGAAGATTTTTGCAAAAAATCTGCTTTAGTGATGAAACCATTTTCATCTCGGTGGATTCGTTAATAAGCAGAATTGTCACGTTTGGGATGATGAAAATCCATGAAAGATTGTTGACAAGCCATTGCATCCACAAAAGGTCACTGTTTGGTGTGCATTTTTTGCTAGCAGTCATTGGGCCGTATGTTTATAAATTTGAACGTTCATATTTGTAATCGGCTTTGATAACTTTAATTTGATTGTTAATCTTTTCATGGTTGAAATTGCCAAAGATTTAAGTTGTTAAATCTGAAAGTAAAAGAAAAAATCATTAGATGCTTAAACTTAATTTAAAATCAGTCCAAGTTATTGGAACACCTTATATAAATATATTTTTCTATTCTAGATCTTGTTGAGATTGACCTGAATCTACCTTGCTTGTATGCTTAAATTGTTTGCTTCTACATTTTGTTGATGTGCCTATAGTGTAGCAGTTGTTGGTGCAGAAAAATGGGATTGGTGTGTCAATTGTAAAGTCTAGCTAAGTCTGTTGCATTTGTGCTTGTACAAATACCCTTGAAAATATATTTCTACAGAAACACACGTCTCCATGAAATATTTCCCTCTTAAAACTGAGAAATCTTTTTTTCTTTTTGATATGTGATCTGGACAGCTTAATCAGTAGGAATGAAATATATATATATATATATATAAAGGCACAAGACAGAGGTCAGGGGAGGGTGGAAGGTATTAGCCTTAAAGGGAAGAGGTTTTATAAAATTAAACCTGGATATTAACCTTATGACATTAAATTAGGGTTATATGAAGAATGAAGTGTTAATCTGAAATTAACAGAGGAACAAAAAGGGATTTCTTTAAAAATTTTTATAGATATGGTTAATTTTAAAAATACATGTTCCCACTTAAAAATACTCTTCCAAAGATAAATTTTACTTAAAATTAAAATATTAAAAATAAGTTTTATTTAGATAAATTATATTCAAATTAAGTAAGATTATATTAAAAAAAAATTATAATTAATAAAATTAATTTTTTTATTAATTATAATTTTTTTTCTTGGAATAGTGTATTTCTTTCCCTCCCCCTGTCAGGTAGGGGTTAATAGCATAGCTGGCTGAGCTTTTTAGCTTGAGTTAGCAACCAGTCTGGGAGAAGGAAAATGCTTAATTCAAAACCAGTTGGGTGTAGGCTTAGTAACTCCACCCCATAAAAACCTAATTGCTATGGAAACCACTGCAACAACACCACCAAGTATGGTGAGGCTATATCCCTATACTCTGCAGGGGGTGTTTACACAGTTAACATATGTGCATAAAGACTGTTTGCTTTCTTCATTATGCAAACAAAGCGTATTTCTTTTTAATTATCAATCAATTTTTTAATTTGTTGTTTTAATAAAAAAAAAAAAAAAAAAAAACTAGTCTTTAACAAAAATTCTTAAAAATTTGCTGATATGCCAAAAAAGTCTCTCTTCATATTTTTGAACTAAAAAATAATTTTTCTTTGTTTTTGTAGTTTGGTTGGATATGAGAACAGCACCAACAGTTGATAGATTGCTGGCAGGTGTACCAGATAAAAGCAAAGACTTTTTGCGAGTAAGTGGAATTTGTGAAGCAACATTTAGATTTGAAATTTTGTATGTTTTAAATTTATTGAAAAAGTGTGAAAGTTTTTTTCTCTTTTTCTCTCTCTCCCTCCTCTCTCTCTCCCGTTCATCTTTCTCATTTTTCTCTAGTTGACCAAAACTACCAAATTACTAATTCCCTACTTACATTTACTATGTTTAGCATAGTATGGCACATGGTCAATTTAGTGTCGATCATGAGAACTGAACTTACTACACAAGCTAAAGATCTACTAGACTCCATAACTATTGCTTCTGCTTGTCTACAAATAATTAAGAGGTATTATTAATCTTAATTTTGTTAGTATTGAATATTATGAGAATGTAGCTGAGTGATTAGAATATTAGGAATTGGTCTATGAAATCCAGGTTCAAATCTCCCCATAGTTGATTTGTCAAGGTGATTTCTTGATGATATTGGTCTGGGCAGTCAATCCCATCATTAGCACCTTTGGAAAGTGCCAGAAAAGCATAGCACAGGTTGACCCAAACCTTATGAGAGGAAACTGTTTGGAAGCTGTAGATGGTTATGCTCACATGAAGTCACAAGTCAACATGACCGAGGGTGTAAGCAAACTGGCATTGTTCAAAATGGTGAACATGTTAGATTATGTGCTCTCTCTCCCCAAAATTCTAACTACAGTCTGCTTGGCATTGTTGCAGTATAAACTACAGTTTTGCTCTGAGTGTTAAAGAAACACAAATGTGCCTGATCAGGCATTTGCAACAGGGATTAACTAACCATCCTAGTAAACTCCATTGTTTCCTGAAACTGATGTATGTCTACTATTTATAAGTATTTATTAAGCAATAAGTGTGGGGGTACCTGATCATTGCTTTACCATGGAGCAATAGAGGAAATGAACTCAGATACCATTATTACTGTAGTGTAGGGGTTGGTAATCCCAGGCCCATGAAGGAGTTTTGTCTGGCTTGCTAACTTAACAACTGGACACTAATTATCTAATTTATTTGTAGAGCAAGTGGTAGAAAAATTATCAGTTGGACTTAATTGACTTACAATGCAACAAATTTTTTAAATTAAAATTAATTCCAAATCCACTGCTGGCTTCTACAAGAAATATGTTTTGCCCAGTGGAAAATATAGAAGCCTGTTGAATAATATGAAAATGATGGTATCATTATTTGAAAGTACATATGCTTGTGAACAACTATTTTAGAAAATGAACTATATTAAAAGTTGTTTAAGCTTGAGTGATAACCACCTGGGTGATGCTTTGCTCCTGTCATCAACAGATATTCCATCTGATGTTGAGAAATTATTGAACAATAAACAGAAACCAGTATCTCATTAAATAATTTGTCATTTCTGACTGTATTTAGTTTGTAGTAGGAATTTGCATTTTTCTTTTTGTTAGTTGTTGTTCTGTTATTCCTGCAGTAAAATAAGGAACCTTGTTTAAATGATGTAACATTAACTTTGGTTTATCTTTAAACCTCCAGACCAAGGCAGTCTTCTGAATTAAACAGTCTGAGTTCAAGACAATTTATTATAGTACATTTGATATCATGGCCCTCGTCCAAGACACTACATAGCTTTCTGACCCCCATATCCAGTTCTTATAGCCTTGTGCCAGACTAGGCATATATCTACTGACTTTGAGTAAGGCTGCAGTATTGTTTAAGTAATTCCACATGCACAAATAATCTTTTCATACTTTTAGCATCAACTTATTAGATTTATAAAAATGTTCCCAGAACCTTTCTTTTTCATAAATAGACAGTTGAAAACTATGTAAAAACTAAACTTTTGCACATAGCCAATAAAACACATCTCTTAACAATTCTGATTATAAATAAATTTTGACCTAAACTTGTCTTTCTGATATTTAGTCCCTTTTGGTTATAAACACCCACTTTAGTTTTCCTTTTTGGTATTTTAACAATATTAACCTTTTTTTTTTTTTTTTTTTTTTCCTATTATAAACTTTAAAGATACAATAAGAATTGAATCATTGTTTTTTATACACTCTCCAGCCTCAATGTGGTCTGCCAATCACCACTTACTTCAGTGCTGTCAAATTGCGTTGGCTACTTGATAATGTTTCTGAAGTGAAAACAGCAGTTGCTGAAGATCGGTGCTTGTTTGGTACTGTGGATACCTGGCTTCTCTGGGTAAGTGAGAATTTTGAAAAGAAAAATTTAGTTTTAGCTTTCTTATTTACCATACTGTTTTAAATTTTCACTTCCTTTTCAATTTTTTTTCTTATAATTCTAATTCTTCCAGTCATGTATGATTGGAATTATTATCCTTATGTTTGTTGTTGATTATTATTTCAGCTGATGTATTTTCCATCTTCCTCGGGTAGAAGGTTGTCATTTTGGATTATAGTTGAAAGTTTATCACTACTAAAATTTGAACTGACTGTTTTTTGCATTAGTAACTAAAGTTAACTCGGCTTATTTTAAAAGTCACAAGTATTAGCTTTCAAAAATTGTCCAATCTAAGAAACCTATTCTGGTATGTTTTATCTGGGGATTTTTTAAAAGGATTTGTTTCAAATTTTTCCTTTTATATTTCAGTGTTCTAAACAAGATAATGATACTAGTCTAACCAATTCATGTACTGGTGACACTTTTGAATGCTTGGAGATATATATGTGTGTGAAAATATATAGAAAATAGGAAGGAACTGGTTAGGTAAATAGTCCAAAGTCCCTTAGTATTTTAGTTATTATTTTTAAAAAAATAGTGCTTGATACAAAAGTAGAGCATAAATATAATTATTTATTTAAAAATATGATTCCAAATCGCTACATAAGAGGTCTCACGTTTCAAAACGAGAGCTGAAAACTTCAATGTAATCCTTTAAATTGAGTTGAAAGTAAAATGGGCTCCGTTCTATTTTCAAGTGAAAAACAAAAATTTCGCTTGAAGATGGAACGGAGCCCATTTTACTTTCAACCCAATTTAATTTAAAGGATTACATTGAAGTTTTCGGCTCTTTGTTTTGAAACATGACACCTCTTATGTAGCGATTTGCAATCATATTTATATATATATATATATATATATATATATATATATATATATATATATATTTATATATTTTTTTTTTTTTTTTTTTTTTTTATTTAAAGAACTTGACTGGAGGGCCAGGTCGTGGTTGCCATGTCACAGATGTCACTAATGCTAGTCGAACAATGTTAATGAACATTCATTCTCTCAGGTGGGATGAGAAACTCTGCAGGTAAGTTTTTGTTTTTTTTTTTTTTTTTCCTCAATTGTAAGGCTTGTAAATTTTCATATATAATGTATTGTCCTCTCATAACACACAGATGTGCAGGCAGTGACAGCCCTATGGTTGCTGTCACCCCAGGCAAACTGAACTTTGGCACCCTTACAAGTATAATTTTTTTTAACTTTTTACAAGGAGAAAAACTGAAAATGTAGAATAATGAATTTATCACAATATACAGCTTAATACAAGCTAAAGAAAACATTCTTTATCCTACCTAAAACATTTCTTTCTAGTTTTTAGATCTGCATATCTTTTCATGGTATGTTCTACACTGATCTTCTTTACAAGATCATTTTATATTGACAAAATAGCCAAAGAATTTAATCTGTCTAAGTCATGGATCATAGCAAGTATGTTTTTATAAGGTTCAGTTTCGGAAGATCATAAACTCATGACATGGCGGCAAGATGGTGCCCTCACCACAGTGTTGGTACTAGGGTTTCTGCTTAAGTAGGTAGTTTTATGGGGTGGAGTTACTAGCCCCATACCCAATTTAGATTTGAATTCAGTGTTCTCTTAGCTTGACAATGAGTCTAAGCTAGAGAGTCTAGTCTGCCCTACTATTTAACTCTTATCTGGGGCAAAGAGATGGAGTCATTCCTTTTCCATGGTTATTTGTGCAAAAGCAAACACAACTGCCTCAGCTGGAGTTTGAACTTGACACACACATCCCAATTTCTGTATTAATAACCACTATGCCCCCATGTGCATCCAGTATAAAAGATAGCTACTCAGAATGAGAAAATTGGTTTGCTGAGTTTGAATTCCAGTTGGACTTGTTACATTCACTTATACACAAATACCCTTGGGAAAGGTATGATTCCATCTCTTCATCAGCTATGGGTTAAATGGTGGAACTTGTATCTGGAAAAATCATTCATCTCAAAAAATAAATTAATGCAATATTTACTTGCCAAAAAGAAAAAAGAATTTTTCTTTCAATTCAAAAATAACATGAGAAACTATTTGAAAATACTGAAACTGTCCATATAATGTCCTACCTTAAAGAGGTAGGTTTATACCAAAATATATAACATATAATATATCATCTACAAACAATATATCTATAAAACATATTAACCCTGAAAGTGTAAAAATTATGTACAAAATATATCTAGCTGAAGACACAAAATTGCATTCAAAATATATGTAGCTGAGCCATAAAATTGTATACAAAATATTTAGATTTCAGCATGCAATAGCCTGTGCAGGTTGATATGTCACAAAACAAAATCAATCAAAACAAACATGCAGTTCCAAAAATCTTTCAGCTTTAAATGACCTACAAAGGGTTGATGATTCATAAAAAATAAATTAGTCACCAAATCTTGTGCAATTTGTAACAGATTATTTGTTTGTTTAATATAAAGGGTTGATCTTTAATACAATTTTTGCATGTTCAATTGATTTATAAAAAAAAAAAAAAAAAACTAGTCGTATCGAAAGAGATTACCATGACATTTATAATGATTATTCACATTTAAACAAGTAATCAATTTTTATTTTGCAGTTTCTTCAATATTCCAATGTCAATTCTTCCAGAAATTCATTCATCATCTGAACTCTATGGCCACATAACAGATAATCCTCTTAAAGGTGTTCCTATTTCGGGTGTAAGTAATTAAAACCAGCACTGTTTTTAATTAGTCATACTCAATATCTCCAATATTTCTGTCACCCAACCACGCCTATGTAAAGAAAATAGATTACTCATTTTTAAATATGTTTAAAAAAAGAAGTCTACCATATAAATTTGTGTATAAGCTAACTTCATGTATAGTGTGACCCTTGAATTTGGACCCTTCTAGAAAAAAATTTACCTGCATATACTGCAACTGGTCACTGAAAATGTATGATTTTTAGCCTCATCAAAATAATTACCTGTGTCTAGTGCGACCCCCATTTTTTTTTTTTTTTTTTTTTTTTTTTTTTTTGCAAAAAGAAACTGATTATAAAAACTCGCACTATACTCTAGTACAGTGGTCTATAACCGCTGTGCTACAGCACACTAGTGTCATGAAGTTTCGAAAAAAAAACACCAGGCACACTAAATAAGCTGCACAAATAGTTGAATAGAAACGTTGAAATAGAGTAAGTTAATATTTGTTTATTTTTTTTATAAAATCTGTGGTTTTCTCATATCGTCTAAATGTATACCATTTAAAAATTTTGCTACGTGTGCCTTGATATTTTCCTTTGCTCCTAAATGTGCCATTTCTTAAAAAGGTTCAGAAACCTTGCTCTAGTATATGCATTAGCTATTTTTCACAATAGCTGAGTTATAGAACTGACTTTTAGAAATCTCTCTTGAGTCATGTCCACCCTAGATATGGAGTAGGGGGTCACAGTCTTAACATGTTAGGCATTGCTGCAGTGGGTTTTTTCATGAAATGAAATTACAAGCTCCATGCCTGACTGGTTTTAAATTCAGAGTTGTCTTTTTAGACTGGTTGCCAACCAAAGCAGAAGAGCCCAGTCTACCTTACTATTTAACCCATGGCTAGGGGTTTTTTTAGAAGCATCTTGTTCATTTCTTTCTTAGCCCACACCCTTACTAATGGATTATGCTAGAAATCCTCTTCCATAAAACCTTGTTTGAAAAATGTAATATTTATATTAGCATTTGTGTAGATTAATGTATTAATTTTAGGCTTATGCCATTTAATTTTTCACTTCCTTCCTTGTTTGCTTTCTTGCATCCAGACATATGAAAAATAGTTGTGTGTGTGTGTGTGCAATGTAAAATTTATCATATTCATAGAATTAAAAAATATAGATTGTATAGTCTTCATAAAACTAGACATGTAATATGACCTGCAAACTTGATAACAAAAACTGAAAAATATCAAACTAAACCTTATACAAAATTTGTCATATTCATAGAATCAGAACAGTAAATTATATATATATATATATATATATATATTATAATTGCAGCAATCTTTACAGATGATTACCATCTCATTAATTGTATATTGTTGAATTAGTTATCAACTTGTAAATGAGTATGGTCTCTAAGGTGACTCTTGCCTAGTAGAGGTTTGCATATGTGACATACAAGGGTGGTCACCATGACAGGATTTCTGGAATTAAATTGAGTAACATCATGCTTGTGAAACATTGTGCGTCTTTTTGGACCCAGACGGCATTTACACATCCGTGCGTCTTTTCAGGCCCAGATGGCATTTACACTTTTTGCCACATATCACACATAAACATTTTCAGCTAGTTTTGGAGGAAGGCTCTCAAGGTGTAAGGATTGTCATGAGATTTAAGGTGGTTGACATAACCACATTTTGATATCAGGACACTGACAAATATTACACCCCCACAAATGAAATTCAGGTGAAAGGTTATGGCCTCCTTTCTAAGACCACACTTTTTCATTCTTAATGCAGATAGACTCAAGGAGTATACTGCTATGTTAATGTATTTTATGCCTTCATATCTGTCAAGGGAAAGCTCCTCCCAGTTGCTCACATCAAAAGCTTTTTTTTCTGGACACAATTCCTGAATATTTTTTTTGGTTTGTACTCTGGGTGTTTATTATCTTTGATTTCACCATAATATATATATATATATATATATATTATTAACGATTAGCTACACATTTCAAATTTTGTCTCTCTGCCAGTGTTGGTATCTAATCCTTGTTGAAGGCTAGTACTTGGGCACATTTGCATTTCTTCCACAGAGCCAACCTATGATTTATACTGCAACTGTACTGAGTGAACCTTAGCTAGTTTCTGAGAGAGAGCTTATAATCTGGCATAATCAAGTTGCACAAAAGCAGCATACTTGAACTGTAGTGAGTCCCGATAATATATATTTATATATATATATATATATATATATATTAACAAAAAAAAGTAAAGAATTTAAAGTTAAAATAAAGCATCTGTGCTTTCCTTTAATCTCTCACTCCCTCAGAAGGCAACCCTTAAATAAAAAGTGGAAGAAAAGACTGAACCTAGCTGAAAAAATACCGGAAGTTTGTGGGACCAGAACCTATTTATTTATGACTATAAATCTACCAAATAAGACAGGCTCCATGCATAATTTCCATTATATAAAAGAAACACTGGAAAATAAATTTTTGATGTTTCATGCCAGTAAGTTTGGATTCCTGGGCAGATGAGAAAGTGATGGCAAGTGAAACCATGGAGACATGCGTGACAGTTCTTAATCTGCTAATGATATTTCTGCCTTGTTGACACTGACCTATTTCTAAGATGATTACTACTACAAGCAATGTTTGATTTTTGAAATGACCCACTACCGAGCCAAAATGGACATTTCTCCAGACTACTTCCAATATCCACCTTTACAAATGAACCTTTTGCTACACCAAATATAAAAGGTCTCACTCTAAAGCAAATAGATAAAAATATATTATTTTTATACTCTAGAGTCAGTTCATTCTAATCCAAAGTTTTCAGTAAATAAACACCAAGAACCATCCTGATGCAAAATATCACAGAACCCTTGACCATGATAACTTCTAACTTTATTCTAGCACAGCTGGTTCTGAACAATTTCATCTCAATATTATCAAGAAGTTACCTCTTTGATAAAATCAACCATGATGAGATTTGAACATATATCTCATGGTTGAAATACCAATGCTCTAACCACTTGGCCACAAACCAATATATACTTGAGGCTTCAAAATGACATTCACCATATTGTGTTGATTCCTATCTCCATTGTGTCTATATTTATACATGCTCTATCTCTGATACTGAACACTATTCCCAAATAAATACAACTGTTAAATATATAAAGGATGCTTCACAATAATGCCTCCCATTTATTTCCATGGTAATTTCAACAGATTCAGGAAGAACAATAACATCGTAAATCAAGTTTGCATCTACAAAAATGTTTCTACATAGCCAGCACATTTAGCCTTGTGTTTGTGCATTGATTAACAGTAGTCTGTAGGGAAACTCAGAATGTGGCTTATGCACATTGTTATTGCCACTACTGAAGCCCATTGCTTACTGCTTGATTATTCTTTTCTTGCATTGTCTGTTTGATCTCTGTAAATGTTCAGCAAGTCTCAATAGATTTTATTGGGTGTGTGTTTTTTTTTTTTTTGCAAGAGGAATTCAGTGACACACCTCTGCTTTGTATACACTTTCATGTCAGGTACCATTTTGTCACACTGCCACTCAGCAAAAAAAAAAAAAAAGGAAAATTGTAGTTTATTAGTAGAAAGTTTTAATTTCTGCTTGCCACCAATATTTTTCCCCGCTGTTGTTGGCCATCATACTAAAATAAGATTTTACTTTTAAAGTGACCTTTGTGTGTTTAACCTGTTTCAAATAGTGGACATACTACACTTATCCTAGGTAGAGGGCTGGGAGTGACACTATGACTCTAGGTCAGGGGTTCCCAACCTTTTGGGCGGGGGGGGGGGTCATGCCTCACCTAAGCATCTCCAAAAATTTGGATGCACCCCCCCCCACACACACACACTTTGGTATACAATTCCTATTATTCAAAAAGTGAACTATTCATGTGGAGGAAGCATAAAAGGCCATTACTTTGGTCTAAACAAGCCTTCAAAGAACATGGCATCCATGAAAAATAAAAATAATAGAACGAAAGGACAGTTGAAATACTGAGGAAGATAGAAATTGTTAAAATATATATAATTACATGTATATACATACACACAAATATTTTATATATGCATACTGTATATTAAGTTACACACACACACACACTAGAATAAAATTTGCTGTTAGTAAATCATTCTCAAATTGCTTCCTTGTGGGATGCGTGTCCCATGTTAGGAATCCTGGCTCTATGTAGATTGCACAAATACTCTGAGACTAGATAGAAGTACTGATCTGTATATAATTAAAAAACAATAACAATATTAATAATGCTGTTATTTTTTTTTATCAGTACTATTCCAGAAAATAAATAAAACCAAAGTAAAATTTTCATTGCATGCATTGACTTGTTTGAAGAGATGATGTGCTTCTAAAGAATAATGCTGAGAATACCATAGACCAAAATATGTGAGTAACAAGGAAGTCTTAAAGAAAAATGAAATAAAAAGGATGCTTATACTTGGAATTAGACAGTTGAAATTTTTAGAACACATAGTGAAGAAAAGGGCTTAGGGCATTTGGTACTTACAGGACATATTGAAGAGACGGAGGAAAGCAGCAAGTAACTTGCCTAATAAGTCAATAGTGAAAAGACAACCCATAGTAAGAACTACAAAGGATATGAAATTGGAGAGAGCTATGACCCCCCCCCATGTCTTAAAGGGACATGGCATATAGAAGTAGTACTGGTATTACAAAAATAATGAAATTTAGACAGTACCACTTCCAGAGTTGGTTTAGCTTTAGACATAGTCTTGAAAGAAGATATTTTGAACAAAAAAAAGATGTTTTTAATATATCTTAATTTCTTTTATAGATTTTGGGTGACCAGCAGGCAGCTCTTGTTGGACAAATGTGCTTTAAACAAGGCTCTGCTAAAAACACGTGAGTTAATTTGTCTGCTCTTGTAATTTCAGCCAGCTAAAGATTTTGTCATGTTAATCTTGCTTATGAAGTTATTTGAATATGTAATTAAGAATAGAATTAAACTTAAAAAAAAATATTAAAGTAAAAGTTAAGCATAATCATTTCAACAGTTGTTCATGCTACTAAATTCATTCTTTGTGTTGCTGTTGTTGCCACCACAACATTCAAGCAATCCATTCTTCAGTTATACAATCACGAAGGAAAAATGTGGAATCACTTTACCAAAAAAATATGGGGTCTCTTTACCCATATAAAAGGAGTCTCTTTACCCCAAAATAGTGGTCTCTTTATAGAAAAAAGAGGGCTCTCTTAACTCCTGTACCCAAAAACAAAAGTGGAATCTCTTTACCAAAAAAAAAGAAATGGTCACTTTACAAAAAAAAAGAGCAGTCTCTTTACCAAACACTCCAAATAAGTCTCTTTATCCCCAACAAAGAGTTTTTCCCCACCTCCCAAAAATAATGGGTTTCTTTAGCAAAAAGAAGAAATAGCTGGTGAAGAGAGAAATTGTGACTAATATACTGTCCAAAAATATGAGACACATGAAAGACCTTATGTTAACCGTTATACTTCTTGCAAATATCAAACATAATTATTCCACCCTGTTGGCTGGGGCTTTAGAATATGCTGCTGCACCTCTGCAGAGAGGTAAAACCCCTGCCCATGAGGTGTCATGGGTATGATGATAAACTATGTCTGGCGTCAAGGCCTCTTATCAGGAGATTTTGAGAAGTGTGAAATCCCCCTCCAAATTGCTAGTGTTCCCAGATCCACCCTGACCCAAGGTGGTAGCATATGTTGGGGTCCCAGCTAACTGGGGTCAAAACACTATGAAAGTGTGAAAATGGGTTTTTTATAGTAAAAATACCAGCAATACATTTTTGGTAAAAAAAAAAAATCTTACCAGCAATACATTTGACACTCAACAAAAACCCTATTTACAAAAATGTCAATGATCTATAAACTGATTTCTTACAAATACATATTCTATTCATACAAATCTATTGTAAAAATGTTATCGGCATTAAATAACCCACTGACGTTGATATGCTGTAAAACAAACCAAACCATAAAATTATTGTTCAAATTTCTTATCAGGCATTTAAATTTTGTTGGTCTTTATCAATTTTTCTTCTGTTTTTTTTTTTTTTTTTTTTTTTACTTTACAGGTATGGGACTGGTTGTTTTCTTTTGTACAATACAGGTTCACAGGTAAATTCTTCCTCTTTACTTTCTGTGTTTTTTATGATTCATTGTTCTTGTAATTTAGGCAAAATGTGTCATTTTGTGGCCTCATTATTCATGTTAACCAATATTAGGACTCCTGAGAATATGTAGTGTAATTGGTAAAAATACCCAACAAATGGAATTGACAAAGTTTCTAATAAACAATAACAAAGAAAAAAAGAACAGGGTAAAATAATACTAAGCAAACATTATATATGCAAGACAAAAGTAGGCAAAACAACAGTAATATGGCAAAAGATTCACAAAGAAAGAATGGTGTTAAAACATGATTGTAGGATTCTGACTCAAGACCAGAAATAGCAAAAATATGGTAGATGAGACTGAGAAATGATCCATTTTGTTGGTTAGAAAGAATATAAAAATTTTGCTTTCCTATCAACACCAAGTTCTTGTGCCAAACACAAAACTTAGCTGGTAGAAACAGCAACTCTTGAAAATATGCGCAACAAAAAATACAAGATGACCACTGTATAAAAATTTAAAAGAAACACTGCATTTATTTACAATTTATAAATTTGAAAAGTACAAAACAAGGGTTGCACAAAAATATCCTTTTGTGCACCTCTTTTGGGAAGTATAATACTTTTTTAATTTTTGATTTCCCAATGATAGTCATTTTTTAACTGGTACTTACCATTGAAATTCAGACATCTCTAGTGAGGTGTTTAACCATGATCCAGTGCCAGAGCTAGTTTTTGCCGCCCAGGGCGGCCCTCAAGTTTTCCACCCCTCCCCAGAAGGAATACAATATTACAATGCACATTAACCACTTAAATTATATTAGTCAACGACGAAATTATTCGTACACCCACCAATTTTTAACATTTTTAGCTATGCCTGTATGATACCACTTCTTTTTTCCGTGTTTCTGTTAACCAAACGTGGTATTTCTAACTCTTCACTGATAGATTATGAAAAAAAGTACAATTGTCTGTTAAAAAAAAATGAAAATGTGTTAAAAAAAAAAAAAAAGCGAAGATGTTATTTTTTTTTTTTTTTTTCTAAATCGGGAAAAATTTAAACTTTTTACGATATTGAAAGATAGATAACTTTTTTTTTTGTTTTGTTTACCCTATGTTTTTTGTTTTAAAAAAAAAAAAAAAACAACAAAAAACACATTGCACTTTTAATTCATTATTCATCAGTTTTTGTTAATATTTATTTCAATTCTAACAAGTGAAGAGTCATAAATTATTTAAATGCCACTTTAACAGTTCGTTTTTCTTTTGACAATGTAAAAAAAATGCATTGTCTTTTAATTTTGTTTTATGTAGTTGAAGTTATTAGCAAAGCAGTAGACGAAGAATTAAAAGTCCAGTAAAATTAATTTCACTTTTAAAAATTGAAATAAATGTTATTGTTATCATACTTTTAATTCTTCTGACTCAGTTTTTTGTTTGCTTAACAAAACTTCAACCATCTCTAAACAAAAAATAAAACATTGCATTGTTCTACTATCATGAAAACTTGTAAATTGAAAAAAATGTTTTTTTGGACATTAAATAGTTTCTGCACTTAAAAAAAAAAATATATTAACTTTCGATTTTATTTTAAATTTCCGTTTGATATTTCCGGAAAAAATTGGAATATGTGATATCCTTAAAGCATTGGAATTATTTTCAATTTATTTATAATTTATGAAAACCAAAAAAAAAAAAAGTAACGATTTTAAGATAAAAAAAAAAAAATTGGTTCACTTATTTAATTTTTTTTTCACTAACAGTTTCACAGGCATGAAACACCAAAGTCTGGACTTCTCACATAGAAAAAAAAAAAAAAAAAAAAAAAAAATGGATTCATTAAATTCACTTAAAATCCAACCTCACATCAAGCCCTTTAAAAATGTTCAAATTTTTTCACACTTTTTGCTCACGTCTTGTAAATGGGGTTTATCCCCACCAGTTGACAGCGCATTTTGGAGACTTTTTTTTTTTTTTTTTTTTTAATTGCTGGCTGGCTGGCTGAATGCCAACCATATCAAAAACAAATTGGATTCATTTGAAGCCTATCTTCTCCATTATCGCTGCTTTTTTTTTTTTTTTTTTTTTTTTTTTTCAAAAAATTATTGAAATTATGCTATTGGTTTTTGTTTTTTTTTTCTGAACTCACCACGAACAAAAAAGTTCCTTGCAGGCCGGACTCCCCCAAACTAGCTATGCCACTGCAGCCTAGATTTGAAGAAAATACAGCAATATTTTTAAATGTAATGCTGATTATTACTTAGTGTACAGATGCCTTAAAAATGCTGGCAATTGTTAGAACATTTTAATAGTGAGATGCAATGGGACAAAACTCTTGAAACAAAACAATGTAATGAGATTCGATAAAGTAGAGATAAAGCGTTCACAACTAAAACAGAATTAACTAATCTGTTCCTTTTATATTTTTTAGATGTTTAATGGTATTATATAAATCACTTTTTGCTCAATACCTTTTTATGTTAAAAATTTTATGTGTTTAATATGTGAAATGGAAATATCTCTCGGAAGAAAGATTAGCAACAGAATGACAAAGATTGCAACAACAAAGCCTATTTCAAGACCAAGTCAAAGCAAGATGATCACTTATTTGAGTGAAAGACTTGAACAAATAAGACTGCAATATAAGAAACAGAAGTAAAGGATCTGATTTATTAAATGGTTCATTTTGATCGGGAACTAATTTTGTCTAAATGCAGATATTCTATTTGTATAGATTTGTATTAGAGTATAATGGAAGTAAGCACTCAAAAACTTGATTTACCTACTGTTCCACCACAGATGGGACAGGAAATATATAAATACACATTGATAATTATTATATGGTTTGATTTTTTTTTTTTTTTTTTTTTTCAGCCAGTAGAATCTTCACATGGGTTACTTACTACAGTTGCTTATCAGTTAGGCAGAAGAAAACCGGTTACTTATGCTCTTGAGGTATAAACTACTTTTCCTGTCTTTTACAACTAAAATGTTTTACACATCACTCTATTCATCATTTTATATATCTTTTAATAGTATGAAAGACCAATAGGAAATGTTTATCAATCTTGATAAATATTTTACCACCTATAAACACATGTCAAAAATGCTATATTACATCACCAATATTTATTAAATCCATTCTTAAAGAATAATGTATTATCTACCACAACCAGTGTTTATATAGTCCCCAAATCAACATAAATGTCTAGTAGACATAAACACATACACACACTCACTCACATTATTATTATCTGAATTCCACATAGACAAAGAATTGATACTTACATACATAAAGCAATATTTAAATTTTTTTTCAATTAAGCTTGGAATGCATCATCTCTCCTTCAGTTCAAGACACCATAAATTATACTAACACTGCTTAACAAGTCAAATGCATATGGAGCCTGCTTAACTAATGATAATCAAACAATACAAAAATAAAAATACCAGAATTTTTTTTTTCTCTCCATATTTCATTCTCTGATAAAGCTTTAATAAAAGTGAAACATGTTAGATTGATAAACGTTTCATGTGTTCTTTATCATATCATTCTGTTGTATTATTTAAATTTTAAATAATTAAATCTATTAATGCTTTCTTTCATTCCAAATTTTAAAATCCAGTTTCTGTATTTTGTAATATGTAAATTGTTTGTTTTAAAGATATGCAAATTTTATTACCAATGGCTGAATGTATATCCTAGCTTTTATTTTATGCTATTGTTCGCTCATTACAAGGCCCAAGAGCCACTCAAAGTAGAGGGTCACTGAATGGGGTGGTTTTATGAACATAAGAATTGTAAAATTGAGGAAATGTAGGATAGATAACAGTTGACTCTGAACTTGTTAAGATTGTAGTGGTTGGCAAAATGTCCTCTCAGTTATAGCAGCAGCTGTCAGAAAATGTCTGAATGAAACTTCCTTACTCATAATATGAAGGGAATGAGGATGGTTTGCCTCTGTGTACATTGTGTAGCATGAATATAAAGATATGGTAGCAATATTCCATTTTTAGTTTGATGTGACTCTTATCCATGGTGGGAGGAGTCATGTACTTTCTGGAACTGACCACTTTTCCAGAATCTTTAGCAATTGATCATATATCATCATCCTTTGACCTCCTTGTGGTTGGTCACAACTCCCTTAACAATCCCTTTCCACACTGCTTGAAACTGCATTGCTGTCCCCAGATCCCCAATGTCTAACCCTGAGTCCCAAGCTATGGTGTTTGGGAAAATCAACTTTCATAAGACACCTTCAGAAGGATGCCATAGTAGTAGTAAGGATGAGACAACCTCCCTGTCTGCTTGATGGCAGTGGGTGGCAAACTGCAATCACTTTTGTTTGAGCTTAAGAGATTGGTCTCAGTTCTCTGTAAATTGTGTTTTGCATGGGATCTCCAAATGATGTTCTGGATTTTTCTAAGTAGATTTGTATATATTCCATCCAGTCATCTTTCAAGATGAACAGATAATGTCCAAGTTTCTGATCCAAACAGTAGGACAGGTTCAATATATAGGAGTTCGATTTGTACTCTCGGTTGAACTTTTGTCCCAAAAGATGCTCAAAGCAGGTGTCTTTTTGATAGTACAACCATTTATTGTGACTTGTGAGAATTTAGGGTCATCTAGATGATGACAAGTTACTAGCTTGATAGGACCCAAATGAAAAGGAATATTGTCATTATAATTAGGATAGCTATCTAATCCCTGTTGCAGATGCTTTCTCAGGCACATTTGTGTTAGTTCAACACCCACAGAGCCCACCTGTGATTTATACTGAGTAGATATTAGTTACAGTTTCTAGGAGATAATACATAACTTGATGAGATCAACAGTTTGAACAAGGCCAGCAGACTCAAACCTTCAATCATGAGGACTTTGTGTTAGCACAACCATTGACAACTCTCAAGCAGTTCCATCTATCCAGTTTCACCCACAATGCCTGGGTCAATCTGCGGTATAATTTTCAGGCATTTCCTAATAATGCTACATGCTGGGATCCTCTCCCAGGTCAATATTAACAAGGTGGAATACTTATATTCTAAATGCTCACCCATAGAACTTGCTTGGGTGATTCACCAACCTCTTTATAATGTTCTACAACCACATATATTGTTGTTAACCCTATAGACTCTCAGTGGAGTATAGGGTTGGTTATACACTCACTATACTACATGTTGCTGCTATGGTTTTGTTATATTCCATGCTAATAGGAATATATGCTTGAAAAACAAGGTGGGTAAAATAAGTAAAAGTTTATTGTAAAAAAAAAAACAGTACAATAAGAATAAATGTAACAGTTATGCACAAGGTCATTGCAAGTCAATCCAAAAGTGATTGCTACTATTGGAAGGTTGGTTGTTCTCGCGTTCATACTCAACAGATCCCAGCTAATAGTATTTACCAACCTCCCACAGGGTAGGATGTGGCACAAGGCAGAGTTTAATGTGGGGCAATCCAAGCCCATAGGCTCAGCTAAAAATTCTCTGTAAACTCTGCATAAATGGGATCAGGTCTGCCTATCTCCCTGGACGAGACTCTGCCCTGTGGCATAGCCCCATGCGGGCTCCTCTTTGCCCAAAGGCAGAGAGTTTGACAACACAGCTGGAACAGATTCCAGCTTGTAATATTTACCAACCTTCGATGGGGTAGGATGTGGCACAAGGCTGAGTTTAATGTGGGGTAATCTGAGCCTATAGACTTGACCAAAAATTCCTTGTAAACCCTGCATAAATGGGATCCGGTCTGTCTACCTCCCTGAATGAGACTCTGCCCTTCAGCATAGCCTCATCTGGGTTCCTCTCTACTCAAAGACAGAGTTCGACAGCACAGCTGGAACATACTCCAGCTGGTCTCTGTAGTTCATTGACTTACAGCTACTTATAGGTAGTTACTACCTATAGTGTAGTCACTCATGGGGGTGACAGGTTATTCCATTACATCAGGTTTCAATCACAAGTAGAATTTTATAGGATGCAATTGCTAGCTCCATACCCAACTAGTCTTGCATTTAGAATTGTCTTTCCCCTAAACTGGTTGCCAATCAAAACTATAGAGCTCAGTCTGCCCTGCTATTAACCCATAGCTAGGAGAAGAGATGGATTTATACCTTTTCGAAGATTATTAGTGTGAAAGCAAGGTCTTTGGCTGGAATTTGAACTTGGCATTCCAATTCCTCTTTCCATGCTGATAGCAGCTATACTATGTGCACATGCATTTAAGTTTATATATTAATATAGTCCTAGGTATGATGATAAACTACATCCAGCAGCAAGGCCTCTGATAGGGAAACGGGAGATTTTGAGGAATGTGGAACCACCTCTTAATTGCTGCTGTTCCCAGGCCTACACTCACCCAGGGTAGTAGCACCTGTTATGGTCCCAGATATAGGCAAATAGTAAACTCCCAAATAAAAAACAAAATGCTATGAAAGTATAAAAATACATTTTAATAGTAAAATTACCAACAATACATTGAAGGCATATAATTGTCTTCAAAATATATTTAGTTGAAGCCATAAAATTGTGTTTAAAGTATTTAGATTTCAGCATTAAATAATCCATAGAGGTTGATATGCTACTAAACCAAATCAACCATATATTGTATATTATATAATATTTTTATATATTGTCATATATTAATTATCATTATGATAATAACGTAAAATAAAATGTAAGATAAAGCAATAAATTAAAATAAAGTTAGAGAACAGCCTTGAAAAAAAAAAATTTTTTTTTTTTTTTTTTTTTTTTTTTTTTTTTAGGGGGCCATTGCTATTGCTGGTGCCTGTGTACAATGGTTGAGGGACAATCTTGGAATCATTCAGACTTCAGCAGAAATTGGTGTGCATTTTTAATTATCTGCTTCTCCAGTTCTATTTCATTTTTATTTTAGAAAATTTCTAAACATCAAAGACTAAGTAGATACATTTATTTTTTATTTTTTATTTTTTTTTAAATCAGTTTTTACTTTTTAGTTATTTTAAAAGTTAATTTGAAAACAAACAGGTGAAATTATTCAAAGTTTGGCTATGCATAACTTATAAGTAGATTTTTTTTATGCACATTACTGAAAAAATTGTTTCTATTTGATATTTTTTATTTATTCAGAGCAATTAGTGAAGTAGTAATAACTATGGTAACTATTTTTATCATAATATTTTTTTGTTATTTTTGTTGGTCAGATTATTGAAATGGTGGACTGTTTTCTTTTCATGTTTCTTAAAAAACATGTTAAATGTCTGTTTCTCTTTTGCTACCTTTCTGTCCTGTCTCTCTTTTTCTTTCATTTCTTCCTTTCTTTTTCCTTTCCCTTTCTCTTAAACTGAAATGACTTTCATCTACTACACAATGTTTTATGCAAAATTTATTGAACTGAAAATTATTTCCAAATTTTAAAGTTTAACTCTGTTTAATTTTGGAGTTGACAGAACTATTATGTATGGATGCACATTATTGTAACAATTTTGTATCCATTTTATATATTTATGTATTCAGAGCAATTGGCTAGTGAAGTAGATAGTACCCATGGCTGCTATTTTGTTCCTGCTTTCTCTGGTCTTTTCTGCCCCTACTGGCGGGCAGATGCTCGTGGGTGAGTACCTCTTTTGATATTACTTGGGTATGTTAATGTTACATTTTACTAGAATTGGGTTTCATTCAATGTATATAAATAAGGTTAACTATTAATTATCTAATATAATCTCTTAAAAACATAAATAATAATTTAAGCAAAGAGTTGAATCATCCTCATTTACTCTGTATTCTATTTGTAAAGAGGAAGTTCCACTCGCACAGCTTTTTCCCCAATAACTGCTACTTTGTGGAAGAGACTTTCAAGTTGATGCTTCCCTGAACATTACCATCTTAATCTTGAAGGGATTAAGATTTTAGTGCTAATTGTTATCTATCCTTATTCTCATAATATTCACTCCTTATACATTTAAAAAAAAAAAAAGTGCATGTGTAAATTGATTTTTGTGGATGTATCTTTGTATGATAAATATTAGTATTCAAAATGTTTGTAGAAATGAATACGTCTGATATGAAGTTCATAGTTTTCAATAAAGAGTCTATTTTAAAGTTCAAACTTTTACTCACAGTTCAGAGTAAGTATAAGCATATTGGCTTCAAGAAGCTACCATGTAATTTCAGTTGTTAGTGAGTCTTTAGATCTCTAGCTGCTTTACTTATCTCTTTGGGAAAAGAGTTAATTTACATAGATTTGTGTAGGTAAGCTGGCATTTTTAAAATGAATTCTAATTCTCTCAGAATCACCTCACTGACTTAATCATCACTTTCTTAAGAATTGAGATATCTTTAGGCCTATACATCTCCACAATTGGCCAGGCTGGCGGGGGTGGGGGGCTTTGATTGAAACACAATCTCTAGATAGATTACCAGTCAAGGCCAAATAGCTTCTATCTTGCTACCAGATGAGGAATTGTAATTTTCTGCTGGTACAAGCATTAACAGCTTCAGACCAGTTTTGTGTATTCACTTCACACTTGCAAGTCTTGAATTAATCATTCTTATGGTTTTCAATCACTTCTCAATAGTGCCACATGCTGTGATTGTCACCTCAGGCTGATATTATCAAAAAGTCACTTCCTTTACAAATCAAAAATGGTGTGATTCAAACCCAGGTCTCACGGTTGAAATGCTAGCACTCTAACCCATTACTAATAATATTAGTATGTGTAGATCAGTGGATCTCAACCTTTTTTTACCCATGGACCCCTTTCCCCTTCTTTTTATCTTGGTGGACCCCTTCATAGCTATTGGACATAAGAACAATTTTCTATTCTTCACTAATATAAATTTTAAGGTTTTAATTATCAAAGAAATAGTATACGATTAAGCTTTATTTTTAAATGAAAACTAATTTAATACAAATAAAATATTCTACTATAATTATAATAATTATTATTACTATTTTTAATTAACACAACAATTGAGTTTTGCCTGTGGACCCCCGGAAATATTACATGGACCCCTAGGGTCCATGTAGACCCCGGTTGAGAACCACTGGTGTAGATAAATAAATAAAAATGGTGTTGTAACAGGCATGCAAGGAATATAAAAAGTAGATTTCAAATGACTGCTGTTGGTTTCCCTAGTCTGGTTGGGAAGGAAATGTCCCATCAGTACTGGAAAAAAGATAAGTTTGTGGACTTGAGAAACCTATTTTTCTGGAAAATTGTTTTCAGAGAAAGATTTTATAAATTCTGACCAAAAGTAGTACTGGCTGTTCAGTCACTGAATGCTGAATATTTCCTTATAAGGAAATGGCTAATATAAGCATTCATTCAGTCTGTTAAGTGCCATGCACAATACACGCTTGGGCGATCATGTCCCTTTTGAGTCATGACTGACAAGGCAGATTTGTCCACAGTAGGTTGCCATTTCTTTCTGCAGTAGACTTGGTTGCCAAGCAAGGCTATAGGACCCAGTCTGTTCTGATATTCAACTTTTAGCTCGAGAGGGAAAAGATGGATTCATACCTTTCACCAAGAGTATTTGCATGTAAGTGAATGTAATGAACTTGATTGCAATTTGACCTTGGACCTCTGATTTCTCATTCAGAGCCATAATCCATTACATCACAATATACATAAGCATTATTACCATTAAAAGTAAATCAAGTCTATGAAAAAAAATGATTTTTAATTCTTCACTTTTTGTTTTGCTTTAGCATCATTTGTGGTCTCTCACAGTTCACAACCAAAGCTCACATTGGTCGAGCTGCATTAGAAGCTGTGTGTTTCCAGACAAGAGAAGTAAGTAAAATTGTTTTTACTGCAAAACATTATTGATGCCACAGTAAGCTTTTTTTATTTGCTTTATAAGTTTGTTAAATGCTAGTCTATATAATTGTTGTCGATGGCAGAACTTATTTCAGTGTTGGGGTGCTCATAGACATTTCCTTCTGGGTGAAATGTGTCTAGTGAGTGTCGATTTTTTTTTTTTTTTTTTTTTTTTAAATTAATAAAGTGAAAAATAAAATAGATAAACAAAAAAAAAAAAGACTTCAAAGTTAAAATAAGGCAATTACTTTTCTCTTATCTTTCTATCACTCTAACCTTCGGTTTCTATACTTCTCTCTCAACTAACAAGGCAATCCTCAATTAAAAAGAGAAAGAAAAGACTGGACCTGGCTGGAAGTTTGCGGGAACAGAGCCTACTTATTTATGACTATAAATCTACCAAAATAAGACAGGCTCCATGTATAACTTCTATTATATAAAAAAAAAAAAAAAATGAAGAAAAGAACACCAGAAAATAAAATAATTTTTGCCAATCAAAGAAATTTAACACAGAGACTTTTGATATCAGTTGAAACCAGGGTTTGCCCCAGTAAATCTGGATCCCTGTCAAGAGATATAAACTGACAACTGTGGGCACATATGATGGCAAGAGACACCATAGACCAAGATATGCGACCATTTGAGAAACCAGCCATGCATAACATGTGAAATAGTTAAGAGGTCATCTACTAATGATCTTATTAGGGCTGAGAAAAACACAGTAGATTGATGCTGGCCTATTTCTAAGATGATTACTACTATCAAGTTTTGATTTCTAAACTGTTGAATACTGAGTCAAAACTGATTGCTACCAAGATCTGCCTTATAAAAAAACATTTTACAGAACTGATTATCAAAGGATTCACTCTAAATCAAATATATTTTTTATTTTATACTCTTGAGTCAATACGTTTTATTTCCAAAGTTGTGATAAATAATTACCAAGAACCCTCTGATATAACACACCACAAGTAATGTTGGATCTGAAGACATATCTGCAGCCACTGCATGGTAGGGTAGGAGGATTCAAGGGATTGAGAGCTCTGGCTTCTCTTTGAGCTTTCTTTGTCTTTTTTATTTATTTCCTGGTGTTTTTGAAAGATTTTTTTTTTTCCATGACTGCTCTTCTCCAATTGGTTCCTTTTGCCATTTCCATCTCCCAATTGATCAGATCGATTTCTGCCCTCAGCAATGTGTTTTTGAGCTGATCCTTGAATCAACTACATGGGAGCTCAACATAGTGTCTTGCCAGATGCAAGCTCTGAGAAGAGAATTTGTTTGGGTATGTGGATGCCTGACATTCAGGCAAGATATCTGGCCCATCAAAGTCAGTGGAAAGTCATGATGTTTTCTAGGCTCTCCATCTTTGCACGGAGGAGAACTTGGTTGTTTTTGATCTGGTCCTGCCACATGTTCCACAGGATTTGACGAAGTTTTCATTTGAAGGAATTTTTTCAAGTTTGTGCATATCGCTTTGGTAAAGTACCAAGATCTTGCAGGCATACAGGAGAGTCAATTACAACCGCTCAGTAGACCATGAGCTTGTGTCTATAAAATACATTGTGTCATATGAAAATTTTCTATGGTATTGTCTTCTTAATGTAATTGTTATACAACCTATAAATATCCTTTGGCTTTCAATTGCAGCTTCTAGATGCCATGAACTGTGACAGTGGAATTCCTCTGAAATCTCTACAGGTTGATGGTGGAATGTCAGTTAATTCTGTTCTTATGCAACTTCAAGCTGACCTATTGGGTATCAATGTTGGTAAGTTGCATTCTAAACAAAAACCAGTAATGGCAACAAATAAAAGCAGAAAAAAATTATTTTAACCTAGACTCTATTTTTTTCTTATTATTTGAAAATGTATTCTATTCAGCTAAATTCACCATTTGTTTATTTTTGTTTTTATTATTGCATTATGCCAACAGTTCTTAAGGTTTTATTTTTTATTTTTATTTATTTATTTATTTTTTTTTTTTTTTTTTGTCCACATTCTCTATTCATCATATTTCAGAATGTTGTCCCCACTTTGGTTTGTTTTTCTTTTTTAAATGCTGAAGATTAAATTCAAATTGGACAGTTCTACAGATTGTATGTAAAATGTAGGATATAATATTTTATGAATAAAGTGTGATGTCTTGTAGAATTGTTTGTAGAAAAGTCAGGATGTGGAGTTATCATTATTTACATTCAGATTAGTAGCGTTATTTGTACAATAATAATTATGTAACAATTGTTTGTTTGGTGGCATATCAATAGCCTATGGGTCATTTATTGCTGAAATTTAATTTTCTTGGGAGCATTAGTAATTTCTTTTATAAAAAATGTATTGCTGGTAATTTTTCTAACTATGAAACAGTATTTTTACTATAAAAATGTATTTTTATACTTTTATAGTGTTTTGACCCCAGTTTGGGAGTTCACTATTTGCTTATAGCTGGGACCCTAACAGGTGCTACCAACCCAGGTCAGGGTGGGCCTGGATAAAACAGCAATTAATAGGTGTTTCCACACTCCTCAAAACCTTCCGATAAGAGGCTTTGCTACCAGATGTAATTTGTCATGATACACAAGATGTAATTTTGTGATAATAATATTAGATAAATAATTTCTGTTTGTTTGTCAACTTTTCTTCAAAATATTAAGTACAATTTCATTTTATTCCATCATGTACTTGCCATTATTTGCAATGACTTGTTGCCACTCATCAGACAGCTGTGATATTTTTTTGAGTAAAATTCTGCAGGTTTTGATGTGAAAAGGTTTTTACTAAACTCTTGAATCTGGTTTTCATTAGAGAAAGTTTTCCCCCATTGAAGCATTTTGCAGTGATTGTAAAAGGTAAAGCTTGCTTGGTGTAAGGTCAGGTGAATATGGCAGATGGAGTAAAACAGAACAGACCAAGTTACAAAACGTTTTCTCTCTTATTCTTGCTGCATGCAGTCTTGTGTTGTCGTGGAGAACAAAATCTTTCCTTTAATCCACTGTGTACACTGCCACTGCTATGCAGAACTAAGGTATTTTGCGGGTGGCATATTGATTTGCAAACAAATGGTGGAAGACAACAATAAACAGAATGAAAACTTGAGTAAAAATATATATATAGTAGAATCCCATACGACTGGACTAAGGCGGCCTTCTGGATATGAGGAATTAGTTACAATGTCTGGATATGACTAGTTATATTTAGATTAAAAGAAATGAAATCGGTTTAACATTTATTTTCAATGTTTTATAGTAAACAAAATAAACTAATGGTAAGTGAAATATAATGGAATTGATTTTAAGAAAAAAATAAATTATGTAATATTAATGAAAATTCATTAAATTAAGTATACCAAGTATGCAAAACAAATAATGCAATGAGGATTTTTAATCACTGTTGTATGATGATTCTCTTCTAATGTCATTCTCAACTTTTTTCACACTTTGTTTTGCTTTTGTTCTTGAAATTTTTAAAATGACACACTTTAACTCTGCATGCATTATTGCAATTGTCATAGCTGAATGCTGGCTTTCTTTCCATAAAACTGACAACCTTTTCAATAGCTTTTCAATTTCAGTCCAGGTTTCATCACAATCATGTTTTTTATTTCCTTGTTCATTGTGACAGTGTGAACGCTGAAGAATAGTTTCTTCGGAAGATTTTATATCATACAATGTTGACTTTCCTATGTTGAACTATGCTATTAGTTACAATGAACTTTCACCAGTGTCTAGTCTGTTTAAAATTTCCACTTTTGTGATAACTCCGAAGTTGTTCTTTTCCTCTTATTCCTGTCATCTTTTGCACCAAAACAAGCCATTAGGGTGAAATAAGCATAAGCAATTATCCAAAGTAAATTTCCTGAAAAACACAAATTTCAAATCAGTTACATATAACCCAAATAGTTCAAATATACATGTCAAAATCATGTCTGGATATGAGGAATTCTACTATATATATATATATATATATATATATATATATATATATAGCCAAGTTTATTTTTGTTAAAGAAAATACATAGGCAAAAATAAGGCTACAGAGCACTAGGCCAAATATATCTCTCCCTGCTCATGTAGAGGGTGAGAAGAGCATTGTCCCGTGAAGGACAGTTTATCACATATTGTTGCTGTTGGCAAAGATGGCTAGCTGGAGGTCTACTGGAGTCACTGCTGATGGTTGAATGTGGAGCAGGTTGGAACCACTGGCTGGCTGCTGCTGCAACAGATACAACACTTTGATCCTAGACATCTTGGTCACATTTGCTGTCAGTTTTTGAGGCCTTTTTATATATTGGATCAGTTGAAAGGTGAAGTTTCTTCCAGTTGTTTTTAAAAAATGTGAGAGTGCTGACAGGATATGACAGTTATGTTAGTGTAGTCCAAATTTATTCTTAACTGCCATGTCGTATTAGTAGTTAGGATGATATATTCATTGTTACATTTGAGACACAAAGTTATGACTGAACCTAGTAATTTTATGATCCCAAAACCCCTCTGCATTAGGCCATTGACTTTAAATTATTACAACCCTAAAGTATTAAAAGGCTATCAGTTATGTGAACAGAGCCAATAAATCTAACTCCATAATGTTTGGTTAATTTTTCACCATCATAATGTAGCTTTCCTGTGCTTTTCTATAAATACTTTTATGGTAATTGTTCTCTATGGTAGAGAAATGCAATATTAATCCTTATCTATTGTCTTCTTTATTCCTCTTCTTTTATTGTTTTTGCTATGGAAACCACAGTATCAGCACCTAGTGTTGAGAGCCATAACCTCATTGTTATTGTTACTAACATCTTTATTTTCCATTCTCATTAATTGGGCTACCCATTTTTTCTTGTTGCTGCTGCTGTTGGAAGTCTTTAACTGATCTGTTTTTAGTTATTTGGTAAAGCTCTTTGTGATTTTGTAACGCTAATCTATATGGTCTAATGGAGGAACTTTTTCTCTTAGATTTAAAGGATTCATTTGTTTGAAGCCATTTTTAATTACTAATCTGAGAATGTTTTTATATAGATATTTCTGAATGAGTTGGATGCTATACATGACATCCATATGTGAGTTGAGATCTGACGTACATATTTAAGAATGTCTCTTGTTTTCAGCTTGCTACTTTTGTAGCATCTTGTGGTCTTCTGTCTATATTTCTGAGATGAGGTATTGTAACTATTTACATTGTTTGGACTGTTGTCCTCATCTTTATTGCCATATACATAACATTTTGGCCATTGTACACTCTGGCCTTCTTCAGGTGATAAACATTGGAATTTCAAACCAAACCCTGGGGCTGGTTGAAATAATCCAGTGACTTGACCCAAAGAGTTGTGAGTTCAATACCTGCCCAGTGCAGAGGTGAACAAAAACTTGGAGAGTAGAGATACTAAAGGGAAATGACTTGTTAGGGGGTGCTTGCTTACTTCCCCCTATAAAGGACAATAACTCAAAATACAATGGAGTTACAGCCCTTGTCTACTAGTTGGCTTGCAGCACTTCTGAATTTAACATGGTGATAAGCTAACACACACATGGAACTCCTGGTTTTAATCCAAACAAAGCCTTGCTGTTCTCAGGCAGTAAATGAATAAAAATGATTTTATGTGTTAAAATACACTTGTCTTTTATTTTTATCTGTTTTTGTTTGTCCCAACAAACTGGGATATAATATAACTGAAACCGAGATATCCAGAAAAGGTATGGCATGTGGAACTAGAACAATCTACCCCAGTGGACTTAATAAAGGGTTTGGTTCAAAATTCCAATGTATATCACCTGAAGAAAGTCAGTGTACAATAGCCGAAGTGTTGTGAATATGACAACAGTCCAAACAATGTAAATAGGGTAAATAGCATCTCCATGAGGTTGTACAAAAGTGTCCCTTATCTCCATGTTAAATTTGTTATAACTGAGCCATACTATTTGAAGTATTCAGAATAATTAAAGTATTTAGAATATATTAATTTCATGTTCTGAATTTTTCTGATGGATTCAAGGTATGTACCATCAGTATTGTCAATCCAATTCCAGTTCATAATTTCTGTTTTGGAAAGGGTTATCTGAAATTGTATTTCTTGAAACATTTGGACCGCTTGGGAATGCTGGGTCCTTTAAGCAACCTCCTACAATTAAAAATGTTTTGGCTTTAAATAACCCACAAAGGGTTAAGATGTCAAAAAACAAACAAAAAAACAAACAAATCAATCTTTGAACATTTGATATTTTAATTTTTAGGCGACATAAAATGAATCGTTTGTAATTTTTTTTTTTTTTTTTTTTTTTTTTAATGCAAGTCAAATCTTATTTTTCTCTTATTTGTTATTTCTCAGTTCGCCCTTCTATGCCTGAAACCACGGCATTAGGGGCAGCAATGGCTGCTGGCTGTGCTGAAGAAATCAATGTTTGGAATTTAGATCCATCAAAAGCTCCAAAAACCATCACAGATACATTTGTGCCTTCCATTCCAGCTAAAGGTGAGTTGTTTTCACCTTTTTATCTATCTGGAATTATTTTATGTCACTTCATTAAATATCAGCATTCCTTATGACAGTATTGCTTAAACTATTTCATCATTATTGATCCTCAAATCTTTATCAGAAAATTTAATTCAAATTTTTGATAATTTTTTTTTCTTATTCTGATTGGTGTATAATTTTATAATTCATTTTGTCATAAGAAAAAAATAATTTCTTAAATATTTTTTATTCAAGTTCTTGCACCTTTTTAGAAATATGTAAAAAAAATTTAAAAAATTAACATTTTTTGAGTAGGCATAAACTTAGTAAACAAGTCTTAGAGCTTAGATTATTAGAAACAGTATTTTCTTTTTGGTTAAGTTTACCACAAATAAAAAAAACAAACCAAATGTGTCTTATTAAAGACGAGGATGTTTTTCAGATGCTCTTCTTGAGATTAGAAAACCATACACAGAAAAAACACAAACTTTCTTGCTCTCTTGATAGCAAAATAGCTTATGACAAACAAAATAGAGAAAGAATATAAATATTTAAGTAAATTAAGTCATTTGTTTGTTTCATTCAACATTTGAGAGGGAATCATATAGTCTAAAAAGTCCTGTACTAAATCTGCTTATAAATGTGTTATACAAACTTTGAACCCAAATGATTGATTATGTGTTCATAAATATTGTAATGGAAGAATAAAAATTGAGTGTGCTCTCATGCCATTGTGTAAATTTCTGATTGGTTGCTTCATTCTCTAGTGGTATGTAAATATAGATTTTTTTTTTTTTTTTTTTTTTTTTTGTGGGTTCACTTAAGAGATTGGGGAGAATGGAGGTCAAGCATCAAAAAGGCACATTGTAAAAAAGAAAAATTACAAAAGATACTTGGTGAGATATAAAATGAAAAGCATTTTATTAAAATAAAATTTTTACTAAATATAATGGGTGCACAAATTTGGTGATTTATGTGCCTGGGAAAAGGGGTAATAAATTCCTGGAAAAGTAACTTGTTTTTTCTAAAATAAGGCTCAATGATAGTTGTGGGGAAAAAAGTTCAAATTTACAATCAGTATCGATCAAATAACATGAGATCTCACAAGAGAAATGCCAGGGTATACAAAACAATGCAAATTACAAGGGAGAAGGTCCAATAAAATGGTTTCAGTGTGGTCAAACCCAGTTAAAATGGTATAATTACCTTAAAGGCATAAAATGTGAATGTTCTTAATTGTTCTTGTGGTTTGATGTTGGTTGTCAAAATTCATGACAGAATCCATTTGTATACCTTCAGAGTTCAGTCTTCAACATAGAGCATTGTTTTTAGAACAGTACTTGTTCTGTCATGGAAACAACCATTTTGTTACAATACTTGGGGGTGAAAATTAGACTTAATTCTGTTATGAAAATGATAATTTGGTTGTCAAGACTTTGTTGAGGCCTAGGTTTTTGCAGCCACTTCTTTAAATCTACTGTCTGAGTTTGATACTTTGGAAGGTGTTGCATCTCCCACTCTCTGCAATGGTTGTATTGCAGGGATTTTTATAGCCAAAGGTTGGCTCTGATTTACACAAATTTTGGTGGTCAACACAAGGATTTCAAATTTCAACTGGCTTAAGTAGCCACTGGTTAAAAGTCATGTTTATCAAAACAATTTATTGTAGTAGAAAAAACATTTCTGTTTTTCTTTCCCTTTCCTTAACCTTCAGCTGACCCCTCCACTTCACCCATTGGTCAAGGAGTTTTACACATAGGCTGGCAAGGTTCAGGTTTCAGTAAATTATTCTATTACCTTCATCCTTTCCCCAAAATTTCTGAGAGCCAAAATTTACTCAGAGAAAAAAAAAAAATTTTAACCTTTTTTTTTTTTTTTTTTTTTTTTTTTCTTATTTTTATCCTTATGCTTTCATACCAAGATCTAAAAAGATAATGTTCTTTTTATCTTTAACTTGCTAATGTAACAGACTGCATAATAATTAATATTCCATTTTATTTTAGATCGTGATGATAGGTTCAACTGGTGGAAAATGGCTGTGGAACGCTCCTTAGGTTGGAAGATAGAAACCCCAATTCCTGTGGGTAAGTTCATACATGTTTTTAAATTTTTATTTCTACTTTTTTTTTTCTCTTCAGCTGTTCTATTTCTAAAAATTAACAGAATAAGGATCAGGTAATTGGAAAATACTAAAGATTGATAAATTATTTTGGAAATTTTTTTTAAATAACTGAATGATTTTCTTTGTTGAATTCATTTTGTTCTTGTTTTATGGCTGGTATTTATCAATTGATGCTTGAGTGGAGATCAGCAGATATTGATGATTTAAACTGATATTTAAATTTAAACCTTTGTTTTTTTTTCTAATAATACAGGCATCATTCATTCATTCAGGATTCAAGTCCTAAATGACAACTCTAGGATTCCTGAGGTTACATTATTTTCTGGTGTATTTGTTTGCAAAGAAAACTAGAAGACAAAAACAGCATGTATACTACTCGGAGAAAAGAGAAACTCACTGCAAAGAATGCACTACTCTATTTTATATAGAATCCTTCAAGGAGCATCATATTAAATTTAGCAGCATTTATTTTTATTTCCCTATTTTCTTCTTCGTAAAAGTCTAAGTGTTAAAATATGTGATTTTAATGGTATATATGATTAAAATGAAAATAAGCATAAAATTTGGTCCTTACCTGGCATCTCATCTTCAGTCACTTTCCCACCGCTGTAAAGTTGTCTCCCTGTGCCTTTTCTATAAATACTTTAATAGTGATTGTTTGGATGAGCTCTTTGCTATTGTACCTAGACTTTATGAATTTAAGTGCAGTACTAGATTGGCAGCAAGGTCTCCTCATTTTACAGTTGAATTGGCCAGATGTAGCCATAAGTTATATGCTACATCTGGCAGCTAGGCTTCTGATCGGGAGATTGAAGCTTTTGAAGAGCATGGAATCATCTCTTAATTGCTGTTGTTCCCCTGTCCACCCTGACCTTGGGTGGTAGCACCTGTTAGGGTCCCAGCTATGGGCAAATAGTGAACCCCTAAACAAAAATCAGCAGTACATTTTCATAATAAAATGATTAACAATAAAATTGTATAGCAGAATAACAATCAATGAATATATATAATTATACTCAAGGATGTACTCTTTTTTGCTTCATAAACACTGTTATATTATACTCAAGAAGTTGTATTATACACAAGAAAAGCAAAGATGGTATGTTGGATTTTACAGAAAGACAACTCATTACAGCATTTACACTTACAACCTAGAAAAATTTTAGCCTTTTTTAAAGTCAGGGTCCGATAATCAAAAAACATTTTTCTTCCATTTAACCATAAAAACCTTTAAATCATTTCACCCCAAGCAATCACTGAGACACAAGGGTGTTACTAAGTGTGAGGGAATATTAAAAAAAAAATAACATTAAGGAGAGAACAATAAGTAAACAGAAAATAAAGACAGAAGATAATGATTAACATTGCATTAACATAAAAAGAAGTATTGAGAATTATTTTAAAGCAAGTGGGAAAGAGATAAATGGGTGGGATTGTAAAAAGAATAAAAGGGGTAGCAGGGGGTGAGAAAAATATGGTGATTGAAAGAAATATCAAAAAGGTGCTATGGAGGAATTTGTACCAGAATGGTGTCAGAAATTTTGAAATCAGTCATATTGACTGGCAAAAGACAACAGTAAAAAGTGTCAGCCAATATTCCTGTGGCTTTGTTCTGAGATCCTCATTGTTGCATACTATGTGGACTTGTATGCAGGTCACTAGTGGTATTGAAGTGTCACATACAACACAAATATAAAAACTGAATGAGGTTGTTGGATCTTATATGTTGAAATTTACGAGAGTCCATTTTATATATATATATATATATATATATATATATATATATATATATATATATATATATATATATATAATTTAAAAAATTATAACATAAATGTTATAAAATCACTACAAAAATAGCCATTTTGTTTCAACACCTTTGGTGTCTTATCGAGTGATGATGTAGATTCTACATTCAACATCATCACTTGATAAGATGCCAAAAGGTGTTGAAACAAAATGGCTATTTTTGTAGTGATTTTATAACATATTTATGTTATAATTTTTAAATAAATATTTATATTCGCTCTACTCTGTATTGAGCACTCTTTTAAGAATAGTAATTGTTGGTGATTGGAATTTATTCTGTATACACCAATCATACACTTGTGTGTGTGTAATATATATATATATATATATATATATATATATATATATATATATATATATGATTATTTGGTGCTACTTTGGCTTGTTATCTATTTGTCATGAATCTACTTTGGTCTGTGATCTACACATTATATTGTAATCTACAACAAGGAAAGTTATACTGATCTACTTTATCTAGATTTCAAAAATAGGCAAGTCCTTTAACTTTCTTAATTCTTCCTAACCTCTGTAAATCCTCATTCACATTTCAATCAGTGACACAGCCCTTAACATGCTTGCAAAAGAATTCTACACCAAAATCAGCAATGAAACTAAGGCACTGGTATTTTTAAGATGACCTGGACTTTTAGATGAAGAACAAAATGCTTCACTGTGTCATCAATGTGGTGGAAAGATGAAGGATGCTTGGAAAAGAAGACAAAATGGTGAATTTATACCCATTCTTTGTTGCAGAAACCATGGATATCAAACTTTTCATTCCAGTCACAGTGGCAATGTATTCTTCCACTTCACATATTTAAATAACAGACTAAATTGCAAGCTTTCTCTTTGCCAAATTTTAGAACTGATCTTTTATTTTATACACAACCTCTATTATGATTTAGTTCAAAGTTTAACTGGTAGAGGTACTGGAGCAATATGCAATTGGTTCATCATGTGCAGAGAAGTTTGTACAGCGATTGTTTCAGTTCAGAATCATGGTCAAATGGTAAGCACTGAAGGAGAGCCTGTGCAAATTGATGAAACACGCTTTGCAGGATGGCGAAAATACAAGAGGCCAAATGTTGCAAGAAGACCGAGCTTTAAATTCGCCAGACACCAAAGCTGAAGTGGGCAATAACCATAACCATGGAAGATGTATTGATGATCCTTGGGTGTTCGGTTTGAAGAAAGGTTCAGATGGCTGATATTTTTACGTTCAAAGAAGAGAAGGTGAGACACTTCAACCAATTATTCAGAGAGAAGTTGCTGAAGGCTCAATAATCCATTCTGACAAATAGCCAGCTTACTCTAATTTAAACCAACTTAATTTTTGTCATTTTTCTGTAAGTCATAAGCAATATTGCATCGATCCTAACACCAAACCACATACACAGGAAATTGAAAGATCCTGGCTCAATGTGAAGAATTGTATATTGAAAAAATGAGAGGCTGCAATCAAAGAACATTTCAATCGTACCTAGACTACTGTTGGTGGATGATAACAGAATCTCCTGACTTCTATTCAGCATTTTTAGTTGATGTATGTGCTGTTTATTGCTAGAATATTATTAATAGAATCTTTTTTAATATTTTAATTATTTTTTCTGTTACATACATACATAATATATATGTATGTGTGTTTTACTATGTAAATATCATTCCAAATTAAAATTTGTGCAGTGTAGGTGTTTTAGCCAATGTACATGCTGATTATTGCTAGAATATAAATAAAAGAAAAATTTTTAATATTTTAATTACATTTTCTTTGTTATATATGTTATATATAACACACATATATATATATATATATATATATATATATATATATATATATATATAGATATTTTTCCCCTTGTAGATAACAAGCCAAAGTAGCACCGATTTTTTTTTTTTTTTTTTTTTTTTTTTTCCATTGTTTGTAGGATTAACAGCTTTTTATTTATCTACCACTTCATATAACAGAAACCTTACAAATCTTACTGAACCATGAATCCAATTAGTTTTCAGATCAGACAATGACCATCAATGGGTGTGATTGTTATGTCTCTCTTATAATGGAATATGGTAAGTGTCTTCTCCACAAATGCAACATGATGTGGGGGGGGAAAGGCACATTTCTAACCCTTTCCTTCTCATATGCTCTGTTTTCCTTCCTCCCGTGATATCAGAGACTGCTCAAAGCGCTCGGAAGTAGATTATCTATGGATGTCTATCTTCTATTCCTCAGGTGCAGAACGTTCCTCTCCAAGTGGGAGTGAGACATGAGTATCAAGTTAAATTTCCACAACTTGAGGTAGGTTCAAATCCTGCTCTCCCATTTCAGGCAAATCTGGGAGAAGATGGGTGTTTTCTCTGCATGGAAGTCTCTATGTATGCATACTTGTATACATTTAAAAAAATATTTATACACACACAGGTTAACACTGAGCAGTGACAGTCTGTTTCATGCTTGCACACAATCTTCAGGCCATTGCATTCAAGGATAAAACAGACTGTCACCACTCAATGTTAACCTCAGTTTCCACTTTTATATTTACATACTCTATTTCTCTGATATTGAATACTTATACCCATAAATGCAGCATACCTCAAAACTACATTTTTATTATATATAGAAATAATTTGTTTTAAATGAGTTTTATTAAATTCTAATGATAAAGTCTGTGCTTAATTTATTTTCCATCTATTTTTTTAATTATTTAATTTTTTTTAAACTCATTATCAAGAATCAAATGTTATCAGTATCAAATGTTTTCTTAGTTGCAACATGGCATCTTGGGGAGAATGCTACATTTCAAATTTACATGTTTATGCATCATATAAGTGGCATTTGGTATAGATTAGTTTCACAGAATTTGACAGCACTAGAAAAAAAATTAAATATCTTTTAAATGTTTTAAAATCTCATTACCTCTAGTGAAAGGTATTTTCAGTTTGTCTATAATTTGGATTCATATCAACAATTTCTTTGAAAATCATAAAAAGAAAACAATAAAAAATTAAACGGACAAACCTTATATATATTCAAAAAAAAAAAAAATCAACCAAAGTTCATTGTTAGCATTTTTTTTAAAATTTTGGGCCATGTTTTTTTTCTTTTTTTTTTTTTTTTTTTTTTTTTTTTTTTTGGGCAGGTGTTCTGGTAATGGA